CGAATGTATGTACTCGAATGTATGTACGTTCTGATATGTGAGGATTAATCCATGGTGATCAAAATGCATTATGAGAGCCTGGTTTATGTATATTTGGCCAATCTCCTTGAGATGCTCATATTAGTTAAGTGTGTTGGCAGTATGTTAAAAAATACGCTCATGTTGCTTTGCTTTGTGGTCCAGAATTGACGATGAAGGTACGTACCCCCCAGCAGATCTTGTGGAACAACATTGAAGTGCCAAGATATTGAGGTCCTGCAGCTGCCCGTGCACAGACCACCTAACACCTAACGCCTAACACCTAAATGGCCCCACATCACACTAGGGCACAAACCTGCCTTTTCTCGCTTCCCGAAAAGGATTTGGAACTAAGCACATCCAATTCAACTTTTTCTCAAGTCGCAATTGACAATCCTCCACACGAATCTGCCACTTCACGATAACTCCAATACCCATCGTTGAACAGTCAAAATGGCCCGTGGACCGTAAGTATATTCCCTCTTAATCCAGTACTCACTTCAATCGTATTTGAATCGTATTTGAGGGAAAGATGTGTCTGCTTAAGAAGTTCTCACAACTCTCGAAACGCGCATCTCCACGTCGAATTTCCCACCGCTGAAATCTTACACGACATGTACTAATTATATTTCAACTTGCAGTAAGAAGCATCAGAAGCGCCTGAGCGCCCCCTCCCACTGGCTTCTCGACAAGCTTTCGGGTGTCTACGCCCCTAAGCCGTCGGCCGGTCCTCACAAGCAGCGCGACTGCATGCCCCTCATCATCTTCATCCGCAACCGTTTGAAGTATGCCTTGAACTACCGCGAGACCAAGGCCATCCTCATGCAGCGCCTGGTCAAGGTTGACGGCAAGGTCCGCACCGACACCACCTACCCTGCCGGCTTCATGGACGTCATCACCCTCGAGAAGACTGGCGAGAACTTCCGACTCATCTACGACACCAAGGGCCGATACACCATCCACCGAATCCAGACCGAGGAGGCCGAGTACAAGCTCGGCAAGGTCAAGCGAGTGCAACTTGGCAAGGGCGGAATCCCATTCTTGGTCACGCACGATGCGAGAACGTGAGTTCTGTCAGACATCATTCAGCCGTTGGATCAAGCTTTGGTTGAACCACCTTTTCCCATCTTGTGATAAGATCGAGCTTCGAACTAATGGCTGGTATGTCCCCCTTTGCTCCGCGCATGCTAATAAGTCTTTTTTATAGCATCCGCTACCCTGACCCTTCTATCAAGGTCAACGACACCGTCAAGATCAACCTCGCCACTGGCAAGATTGAGGACTTCATCAAGTTCGACACTGGCGCCATTGCCATGGCTACTGGTGGTCGCAACATGGGTCGTGTCGGTGTCATTACCCACCGTGAGCGTCACGATGGAGGTTTCAACATCGTCCACATCAAGGACGCCATTGACAACACCTTCGCTACCCGTGAGAACAACGTCTTCGTCATCGGCGCCGAGAAGCCCTGGATCTCTCTGCCCAAGGGTAAGGGTGTCAAGCTCACCATTGCGGAGGAGCGTGACCGCCGCCGAGCCCACGCTCTGGCCGGCCACTAAATGGTCTTCTTTCGGTAAAACAACAAAACGGGATCTGGCAGAGGGTTGACTTTTTTCACAACGCATGGGAACTGGAGTCTGTGGCATATCCGATTCAATCTTACCAAACGAGTAAGATTCGTGGTTTACCTAGGTCAATGATAATGAAAATTAATTGACCCCTGATCCCGCCTCTAGTTCAGGCAGTTATGTATCTGATCTTCCAGATTGTGCATGCTAGTATTTTTGTGTCTCTTGTTGATATGCGTGGTTGTAGCCTTGCCTACATGCCCTCACCCCCCCCCATAACCCTAATATCGTCCCTATCGAGCCAATTTCAACAAGGAAAGACCAGGAATGTCGCGTGAATTTGCCGCATTCGAAGATTCTTCTCTCTTACTACCTATGCTAGCCGGTGATAGTAGAACAAGTCAGTCTAGCATTAATTTTCAGACAGTATAATCCTCTGCATGATCGTGCTTAACGCGCAACATGTAAACAAAATCTTACACCCATCAATCCCCTCTATTCCGTCTTTCCCAAAGCCATCATCCTTGTTCTAGTTCACCGCCTGTTCTATTGTAAAAATTTCCATTCTGTAGACTATCTAACATGCAGTGCCCGATCTGCCGTGTGCTTCGTAGTATTTAGGGGTGGGCAAATGAAACTGTGGCGGCCTAGGCTAGAGGGTTAGAAGACAGTATCTGGGTTCCCGAAGAAGATCAAAGGCTAGGGCATGGTAATGAGACGCTCTAGACTGTACCATACAGTCTGTATGTAGGACTTTGTTGAAGAGGGTTGATGTCATCTCGGTTCGATATTGGGTTCTGCTTTCCCAGGGAGGGGGGTCCAAAAGGTTGTCTGAAACTACACTATCTAGAAGGTAGATGTCTAAATGCTGAGAAGATGGCGGTCTAGAAAGCAAGTCCAGGGGGGCTGGCTTGTTAGCTATGTTGGTCTAGGTGGTGAACCTGCCCTGGAAGAATTATATATTTGCTTGAAGGCTCGACTAGCACGTAAGCGCGAGAGTGTTTCGGGCAAATGACTACGGCGTTCCGAAGCAGAATATAATGTAGGCCGATTGGCCGTCGCGTAGGCGTCGGGGACAAAATCTCGAAGCTATCGCTGAAACATATTAAGTCCGTTACTAGGGTATAATTATTCTAGTATGGAGCGGTAAGCGATGATGGTACAAAGCCATGACTATCCGGTGCATACTCGGGGTTTATTGGACGAGCCTTGCTCTATACCTCAGACACGGCCGGTGAGGTGGCTTACATAGGTGGCTTCATTATGTTGCGATACAATATGGCAGAGATGCTTGCTATGCAGTGCCTAGTACCAAAACATGGCTATGGAGGCGTCCCTAGTCTTCCACCGATAACTACAGACTTTTGTTGAGGCTCGGATAGTATTAAATGGTAGAGATGCATACTCGCTAAACTATTTAAGAGCACGATTTGCCAACCTGGATTGTATCTGCTTGGGAGTATTCGGATCTAGCTTGAGGACGAAGCCAGTTATATGTCTTTTAGCTCTCTTTAGTGAAGATAGCTTCAAACAGCCAGCTAATTTCTTGTTTGAATTATATTCGAATTAGTCTACTTAGAGGTGGTACTGTTAGGTGATAATGCTTGTGCACATTAAGAGATATTTTCTTACCTACCTAGGTAGCTTAGGACTTGTCAACGCCATGGGTGAGAGAGACCTCTCACACTAGATATCTCCAAGTGTGTAAGTCCCAAGGAATCACCTCTTTACGCAAAGATCAGTTCGAATTATCCACTTTTCTCCTGCTGTTACTTCTCGACCTTCGTGCTTTAAACGGGGTTAGCTTTTATAGAACAAGAAAGGCACCGTTTAGCATACCAGTAAACAGTCATCGCCATGTTTGTGAAGTAAAAGTAACCCCGTTTCAGGGGCAATGGCAATTTCTTCTTTTGGTGATTTGCGATCTCGAGGATAGAAAACAGTTTCTCCGCCAGTACAGCCTTCAGCTACCGAGGTCAGATACAGCAATAGTGTCCAAGTCGTTTTGGTGTTGATGGTGTTAGATGGCTCTTCAGGATGTTGTAGAGTCACTAGATTTGAATCATCGTCTGTAATTATAGATTAGTAAATATGATCCTCATGCATATTGAAATAGTTTTAGCTGAGTAGGGTCCGTGAGCAACAATAATGCAAGAAACTTTTGGCCATGATCCCGATACCGCCGTCAACCTATGCCGGGGCTAGATGATGCATCAAGGTGGCGATAAGGGGCAAACGAGATGTAAAGGATCGGATATGAACCCTTGCTATTTGGAGAAGGAAATGCAGAGAGTTTGCTACAGAATGGACCCCGCTTCTTGGACTAAATAACCTTTCTTTGCATAAGTCTGCAGTCACTTGACGAACGTGGCTGTATAGAAAAATCTAAGACAGATGATGTAAAAGGTACATACAATGGCAATCAAAATATTGCCCTTTAGAATATCGATATACTCGGATGTTGGGATTTAACCCCACCGCGTCACCGCCCCTATGTGTATTCGTTAGTTGAGAAAGGCGTTTGGAGCCGTCGAAGTGGTTAGTATTGTTGCTGGTGAGGCGAAAACTCTACTAACCATAGATGCTTATAAGACTCATCTAGCAAGGTATCCTTCAATCCTGTTTCAAGCCATAGTTTCTCTGCGAAGTGGTTATCATCAACTTGGAACCTATCGTTCACCCTTACTGCCTCGCCACGCTTTGGGCGGCCAGGGGTAGTCGTCAAGGGCAGCGTCTTGAGAAAATTGACATAGTCTCGACAAAGGCTCTTTGGCCAGAAGTTTCGCAGTAGGATTATCTTGTCCTCCAATCCCTCGGAAGGGGCTTCCGGGTAGAGTTGCACAACAGGTAGAGGCGGCTTAAACGGTGGCCAACCCGGTGATCTGGCCGCAGCTGTCGTTGAAGGATTTGAAGATTGAGTTTTCTTGGATGACTTATCTTTCCCCATTATATTAACCTAGGTACTAAGTATTTTAGGTTTCTAATGTTCCGGAGATTGGACGGTAAGGGAACTCTCTAAATATTGATATTCATAAGACACATGTAGGTCAAGGTGTATGTAGTGAAGGTGAAGATACATACCTATGTAAATCCGAATATGGTACGGAATATAAGTGGAGGCCAAACCCAAATCCAACGGGTCGGAACCTCCCGTATTTTATGTAGATCGATCTTATCTAGGCCAATCAGCCGCACTTACATACATAGGTACATAACCTGGGTGGCTCCACTTTATAGATGTACTCAATGTACCTATGTACTGTGGGAGCTCACGTGTTTTCGACCTTATGCGGGTAGCCGAACTGCTGTACATACATGTACCTAGGTACCTAGGTAAGCGCTTACATGATGGATACCTCATATACGTTATACCATATCACATAGCGTTTGTTTTCTTTTCTTCTTTCCTCTAGTAGTACTCACCTACCTTTATCTATATGATACAACTTACAATTAATGTACCTAAGCTTAGGTGGTTTGCTTCACTCAGCCATAAAAGCAACAGCCTATCAAGAAGGGTATCGTTCAATAATTGGCATACGGTATTCTCTCACCGCCCCATTTCCGGGAACTTTTCTCCGGCAGCGCAGTGAAAGAAGCACAAATCTGTCGAGTTGCAGATACTAGTAACAATAATATCAGTCTGAGGCTTGCTTACACGAGAATTATGGACGATAGTGATCCCGGCGTCCAGATCTAATCAATACGCCGCAACATTATTCTCACCCGATTTTTGCGATGACTGTCTTGCTTTTTCCTGTTCCCCACGAGCTGAACGCGAGACTATGATGGCGTATCCAGTCGTTCGCTAACGATTCTTCGGGTTGCCGTAGAACCGGCGGTGTTCCCATACAAACATATATAATTCATAGCACAATTCTATCACGGCCTCTGTGTATAAGAGCATCATAACTTCTCGTATTGCGACATAACATGTTCTTCAGGAGGTCATCTTATACGGATTATTCTTGAAGTTATACCATTATCACTCAAGCTGAACGATGAGTAGATTCGCAGCATACTGTGACTGGATCACTACTGCTCGAAAATGTCTGGACGGTGAACAGCCTCCACTGCACATAGCAAGATTCTACGTTCGGGAAGAATCGGTTTGGTTTCCTCTTGTCGGGGTGGAGCCTTCCAACCGCGTCGCTCAGTTTTACGAAGAATTAGTCACTGAGGTCGAGCAATCTAGACTGAGAGATGGGCGAAAGAAGCTATACCGGCGATTCGTAAATAGGGTCATTGCTGCCCACGCCACTGTTGAAGATATACGAGTACCGCTTGGGACTGTTTCGACGCTTCGACACCCCCTGGCTCACTTAGATATAGCGTTAAACCGGATGACGGATTTAATAGAATACGACAACGAGCATCCAATTCATTGGTCCGAAGTGTTCCCGATAGAAAATGCTAAGAGTCAATTGTCGCCAAGTGAGCTTTGGCTTCACTTCAAGCTGGAGAGCATTCGGCCTTGTCTCGTCTTCCTGGTGCGGCTCTTGGGGCTGGTCCTTCCGAAGTATTCGGACATGTGGCGTGAATGCGACAAGAGCCTGACGAGTAAAGAATGGATAATTCAGTTCATTCTCGATTCACCGAGAGCTCCGAAGGAGTCAACATCTACACCACATCTAGGAATTGACCTGTCATCTCAGGCTAAGACTAGGTAGCTTGCATGATATACAATTGTGCGGCTCGGCTTTGGTGAGACATCCAAGAGTTCAGCCCGTCTAAATATGGGTAGTTCTCTGCATGATGATAGATATATGAACTAATCCGTGTTGTAGAAGGAAAAGGAAAGAAACCTGGGTTAAATAGATGTTAGAATGTTGGCATTAATAATTTAAGCTATTTGTAATTATAAGGATTAAATTAATCCTAGGTATGTATATGAATTCGTGGTTAACTAGTTGTGGACCCTGGAGTTTTATGTTTCGGTAACTACCTAGGTTAGGTTAGGTAGGTAGTTAACTGAAAAGCATATCTACCCGAGTTTGTGGATAGCGTTATCCTCTACCCGATTAACAAGACTTATGCTACTATCCCATGTATATAATCCCCACTTACCCCAGATTCGAGTTGGGGAATTCCCTTTGCGAATTCTGGGCTCTTCACCTACACATTTACACATTTACACATTTACTTGCGCACGACATCAAACCCCTCCATCTTCTTCCGAGCCCGTTTTGCAAGGCCCTTCGGTACCCTTGTGATACGCAGGACTGTCACTCTTTAATGTAGAAAAGTTGATGTCTTGATGTCTTGATGTCTTGATATTTTGATACTTATCTTTCCCTAGCGTTTAGATCAGTTTCTCATTCTTTTCTACCGCATACATAACTTCGATATAGATCGCAAAAACTCCAATGTGGTCATTTGGAACTACTATGACAATGGCGAAAGATAGCGATCCTTCGCCAGCTCCTGCCACACAGGCTCAACAACCTACTAAACCTGTTCAGCCTTCACAGCCCCTCCAGCCCCTCCAGCCCCTCCAGAATACGATGCCATATCCCCGGCCTCGACCGCCGATACTATCGCAACGCTCGCTCAAGCAACTAGGCCTCTTCTTCGCCGGCGCGGGCTTTCTTTCGCTCTCGACTCTAATAACAAGACGGGCGGTAGTTAGAAAACAATTGGCGACGATTCCCAAATTTTATCACCAGAGTCATCAACAAGTTAACAAGGTACAATCCGATGGCTCGTTAATAGCTCTCGAGGCTCTAAACCTCGCCACGCTCAATGTCATAGGATTCGGTATTATGATGACAGGTGGCCTATCGTGGGCCTTTGACATCTCGAGCGTCGATGATTTAAGGAGTATGACAAGGGGACATGTTGGACCCTCGGGCGGCCGAACTGACGAAGAGGCTGAACGAGAAATCGAAGAATGGGTAGCGAAGGTCCTGGGGAGGAAAGAAGAAAGAGAAAATACCAAACAACCGCTAGAAAAGGGCGACTAACCGTGCTAAGTAATTAAAGCCGGTGGAGGAAAGGTCTTGGTACGCAACCCATACTTGGGGCTCAACACCAAGAACCAAGAACCAAGAACCAAGAACCAATCTTATATATCTCCGCTCCTCCCGCACGTCGAGACTCGATAAGTTTGCCATTGGCAACTTGCTGATTGGTGATATGCATCAAATATTCACGTACTGAAGCGGGATCCTACTCCAAGCAAGCCACACACGTTAGTTTATCTTCGATACCAGCAATTTTGCCCAGCGGAACGCACTGTGTCTGGAGTCAGGTAGGTATTTGTTCAGCTATAAGTGGCGCTCGCCGATCGATCTGTTCTCTGTCTAACATTTGGCTTCTAATTGTACCCTCTCGTATCTGGACAACATCCTACACAGCCTTCAACTATGAATATCTCCGATCGTATTAGACTATTTTCGTCATGGGGATACTATCTATGAAGTATTTTCCGCTTGGCTCTCAATGACTGTTTCCTCCACGGCTACCTGTTCTGCGGAACGGCTAGAAAATATCGGTTTAGACGGTGTAACACAAGTCCGGCTGTCTTTGAAGCCGTGTCAAGGCTGTACAGGTGTTCGTCATGCGTCCTAACGATGCGCGTTCCGAGTAGTTGCTTATTATATGTCTTACGCTTAGCCCCCTGTCTCGTTCTAGGGTATGGTAGGCACACTTACACCAAGGATACATATATACTGAATTTGCCTGGATGATGGTACCGGCTATGCTTCAGATACGCCTTAGGTATAAAGACAGAGAAACCCGCTCATTCACATAAAATTATCTCAACAAGAAGCTATATTCATCATGGCCATCTATCACATACGTGTCCGGAACTATCATTGGGCCCATCATAATATCATCGTCCAGTCTCCTATTCTCAATCTTGACACTTACGCACCAGCACTAATAGTTCGACCTCTGGAAGGTGTTAATTTAAACGAACCTCGGATCATAAATAACGTCTCTGAACTGAATGACGATATTTTGGAAGACGAGTATCAGGCCGAGGCACATGGCGTATTCATCTCCACGGACCAGCAGAGAACCGGCCACTTCCCCGTCTGGGTGACCGTACATGGTCACGAGTGTGGGAAGAACGAGGTCCATGTTGTTAACTTGACAGCGTTTGAAGCCTCCAGTGTTTCCATAACAGACGTTTGCTGGATTCCCTGCTTGGAAGCTCCTGATGGCAGCTTATATACGGCCATCGGGGCTCCACGGAAAACCTTCAGAACGACACAGGTTCTAGCTATCATCCAGCAATTAGGGAAACCCAGAGAGGCCAGATTAGTTCTTGTCGACCCGGGTCAGCTCGATAGCTACAAGAAGATTGGTGACGACCAAAAAAAGAACATATTTGATATTCAACATACAGCCGTCCGAACGAATTCTAGGCCTTCGGAACCCCTTCTAGACGCTTACCGCGTATTTGCTTCTCCCTATAGACATGACTATGGCCGACTTACATTAGCGGAAATTATAGAAGAAGATCTTGAGATTCCTCGATCCTCTAATTCCGACTGCAGCTCTCAAGGTCTATCGGATAGCTCGGATGACGATGATTCTCTTTATGCCAAACCTAGATACGTTTCAATAGTAGACGCCAAAACTGTAGGTGCCCCTAGCCATTGGTTGTCATCTCACGACGCAAGTAGCATGTGCGAGAATATTGACATATCTAGCAGCGTCCGTATAACTGCGATTGTAAATACGCTGATCTGTTCCCTACGTGTTTCAACCCGCGCCCGAGCCACCGGCATCGTACAGATGACGAGTGCTTTCTCGGATCAAGCCACATCAAGCACTGTATATTCACGGACCACCGACCAGATTGCATCATCTCCGGCTCAAAGGAGATCCATGAACACTGCATCCCCGCTCCTCCGTGGGAGGTACATCAACCCGACTCGGAGGGATCCTTCGAGGAATCTTATAGCGCGGGCGCCGACATGCCGTTCGAAGAGGGGGAAACGGATATAAGCGATGCTCTTAGCCCTACGGATTCCGAATCGACCGCCACCGACTTACTATTCATGGATTTCTAGGTTTATATTGCATTCAATATGCAATTCGCTAGATACGGCATTCTAACTACGTGTTCTTATACACGCAACGAAGCTGCGAATGGTATACGGGCACATGGATAAAGCGAAGGTGTTACTGTAGCATAGCATTTTTTTTCTTGAGGAGGTTAACGCTGCCCTGTTCTGGTAAATCACAATATAAATATCAAAGATATCTCCTTTTTCACCTAGGTACCTAACCTACCCACCTATTCTACCAAGTCTATGTATTAGCTGTCCCATGGCATTATGTATTGAGCTACGGCGTAACAAAGAGCTGATATCCCCATATTATGCCTCCACCGCCATCTCCACTTAGACACCCCTTCGCTAACCAGGCACTTGGGTATTAGTTATTTCTGCATCCATCCCACTTCTTCGCTCCAAGTTCCGAACAAACATATACCAACTCTGCGTGTATGCATTCCCGTCACGTGATGGAGGTATTCTTCTTCCATTTCTTCGCGGTCGGATGGTGTAGTTGGTTATCACGTCAGTCTAACACACTGAAGGTCCCCAGTTCGAGCCTGGGTTCGATCATTTCTTTTGTGATTTTCTCGGATTTTTTCAAGCACATTTTTATTTAGTTTTTATTTTTTAGATCATACATTCTATATGTGCACCTAGGTACTTAGAGCAGTGGGTTGAATTGTTCAGTAGTCTAATTAATTCCTGCGCCGACATGTTTCCACGGCCGCAAATGTGTATCCTAATAGTAACTTACATGTTACATGAAAAGAAAGCATTGCTTCATACTATAGCTATGACATGATACACTCAGAATAGGTATCTAATGTAAAGAATACAAGTGTATGCAATGGGTTGGGGTTTGCGGTGATGCTGATATCCTCTAATGCCACCTACGTCCCAACTCAGGGACTCTAGCGCAAATCGCTCGGCTCTCCTTTTGTTCTATCACTGGCTATGATTAAAAACATCATGAATATTTCGCATGAACGTACGGCGCTCTATCATATAGCGTTCTCCTCCGCACGCCCCCTTATTCGCGCTTCTAGTCCCTCGCCGTTTTCGAAGCTTCCTCTTCGGCCCCAGTTTCGGGGCTGGTGTTTAAGAAACGCGCCGACGGCACCCAAATATCCCTCGTGCCGCAAGAAGTACGGCTGCTTCTGGCCTTTACTCCAGAATTTGATAGCATAGCTCAGCGTGTTCATAGTTTGCGGGTGACCGCGGATGAAAGATCCGCCAAAGTATATGCGCGACAGGTCATGTACTTGCGACTGCAGGTATGCGATCTGCCCGATATTATTACTGATAGCGTATAACAAGGATCGCGAAATATCAGCGCTAGAGAAACGTGACAGCGCCAATTCGCTTGCTCGAGAGGATGTAGGACGCTGTTGTTGTGTTTGCGAACAGCTTGTTGTGGAAGAATTCTGTTCTGAGCTCTTCTGCTGCTGTTGTCGGTTTTGGTCGTCGCCGTTTGAAAGACCACCCATATCCTCTGCCTCATTTTCTGCTTCTCGCTTCATGCGGAAGACTTTACCGAATGAACTGGCGATTGTGGTGCTTTTCAGCCCAATCTTACCATAATCGGTGCCATAGATATCGCCAACTAGCATATCTACTTTGGCGTTGTCGCCGTGCGCGGCCATATCCAGCATCTCGTCGAAAGACTCGGCGGGTGTAAGAAGCGACAGAATTCCCCAAAGGGTACCCCCACCAAGGGACGTGCCGCCTACGCGCTCGTAGGCTCGCGGGCCGGATACCTTAAGGATGCTAACGCCGGACCCTATATTTACGAGCATATACGGGTAAATATTTGCGTTCGGGGAGGCGAAGTGCATGGGATCCGTCTCGGAATATGTGAAGACCTCGCGGGGTATTTCGGTTATAAAGAAATCGAGACCTGTCGCAACGATGCGCATATCAGTTTTCGACACTTTCAGGATCGGCGCACTAAGGACTAACCAATAATTAAACATTCCATCTCATCTTCTCGTAGGACGTCGACACCAAGCCGCTCTCGGATTCTGTCATAGTACTTGTAAGCACCGCCTCCGGTCGCCATTACGCATAATTCACCAGGCTTGGAGCCATTGAGGGCAAGTTGCTTGTCTTGTAGATGTCGCATAAGCTCAATACAGTCGTCGATGCGATCCGTCTCGAAAGATTGGAAATTTAGTCGGCCGCCGGGATCAGTCGAATGCGCTTCGCGGGAGAAATAGACCAGCTTAGCTAGCGAGCCACCGATCTAGATTAAGGAATTGCGCATTTAGCTCGGAGAACTCAATCGCAAACTCTAGGTCTTATATAGAGAAGCATACATCAACAGCGATATGGCTGACAACAGCCGTATGATTAGGAAGGCGGATATCTTTTGTCTCATAATAATTATTACCGCCGGTCCCAGACGAATTGGCGGGAGTGCCGGGCTGTTCAGGTGTATCGACGATGAATGCGCCTTTAACATTGATGCGAACGGAGCCGGGATGTATTATGGTACTATCGATCTCGGCCGTAGTCGTCATGGTGCGCGGTCTTCCAGGAGGCCTTTGCGCCGCATCTATCTTCTCGTCGCTCTCGCCGTCTACAATGGCGGCATCGGCTTGATAGTTGTCTCCAGACATGATTTCTCGTCGTTCTGAGGCGGGGCTATGGGGCAAATGGTGGGGAGAGGGGCAGCAATGTAGAGGATGTAGAGATATGTAAGTGATGATGATGATCAAAGCTTCTGTTGGCTCAGAAGCCCACGAGGAGAAACAAGTTAAGGAGGCATGAATCATGAATTCGGGAATAAACTTAGGAACTTGTTTCGGTAGCTAGCTAGAATTAATATTGATAACATTAAGCGCAAGAGAAAGCGACGAGCGCATTTAAATTAGCGCTTGGAATTGTGTTCAGGATGCCAAAATGTATTGTACCACAGGACGGAGAAAGGGAGTCAGAGCCAAGACAGCCTCAAAGAAGTATGTACGAATTGGTTTGGTGGGGACCGATGAACATGGATTCGCATGGATCAGTAAAAGGGAAAAGACTAAGTTAGGTACCTACCTAGGTTAGGAAAGACGATGTTCAACAAATGTGATTGAACCGTTCTACGTATGCTACCCCACAGTATGTCATGCTTATTTCTTATCGATAGTAATGATAGCGTGGTTTGACCCCCAACAAGACCCTCCCTGCTTCTACGTAAAACCGCAGGCAGTAACCACCCTTTACAGTGTAACACTACAGTGTAACATGCCAACCGTAGGTTAGGTATTTAAGGTAGGTACATACCTACCTACGGATCCTGCCGCTGGGTCTACCCGAGTAGGCCGAGGTAGGTACAATACTACTGCAAACCCAAACATGAAACCGCAGCATACTAGAATAAGCATACCCCTAAGTTCCAACACAGTAAGGCCTAACACACTAAGGTTACATATTTATATCCCCTTAGAAGAACCTCCCAGCAGGCACATTCACAAACACAGCCGTCAGCACGCCAGCACCCAGCAGCCCACCCAGCAGCGCCTGCACAAAAATGACGTCCTGTATCCGCCTCAGCGCCGGCTCCCGGATCCAGACCTCGCAATCAAACACCTTCCGCAGCCGTCCGCGGCGCTCGTACCGCACCACCCACGGCTCGTCCTCGTAGCTGTTGCTAGAGCCAAGCGAGTCGAAGCTGTCGTTGTTATCATGTCCCGTGGCTTCTCTGCTCCGACCGCCTAGATCCGACTCGTCGTCGAAGAGCTCCCACGGCCGCGCGTGGCGGTGGTATAGCCCGTGCAGCACCACCACGCACACCCCCCTGTGTGCTGCGATCAGCGTCGCGATGCCCAGGACCCAGCCGGTGGCAAAGAGCGCGCGCCAGCCTCGCGCTGCAGAACTCAGGGCGAGGATCATGGCGCCTGCTGTAGCGCAGAGAGTGGTGCTGGCCCCTAGGCTTCGGGCGAAGGTTATTCGTGCTGGGTTGCCGTTGCAGATGGTCCAGCGGATGAAGTTTGGGTGCGCTTGGCGTCGGAGCGTGTTCTCTATGCTTCTAGCGATGGCCCGGAACGCTGACGGATGCGTTGTGTATGCGAGAGCTTGGATGGCGCCTTTTTGCTCCCGGCTTGAAAGGTTTAGTTGTCTTCGGGCGCCTTCTGCGATGTAGGTCGCGATCACGCGGTTGATCTCTGCTCTGAAGGGTTGGATGGTGACTAGGTAGGTAGGTAAGGCGTTAGTAGTGATACGTGTGTTAGAGTTGGTACCCAGACACGACTTACATGGTTGTGTAGCACCGGCAGCACTAAAAGCATCCCGGGATTTCGAACGGTAACTAGACGCCTGGGAACCCGATAGAAAGGAAGGGGCTATCTTCGTACTGGGTGTAGAAGGGGGCGTCGAAAAGGGGTCTCTATTTTCCATTACCACATCTACTTTCCCTTTCTCAAAGTCAGTACCCTTGAAAATAGCGACTGCTTTCGGCTCTCTTCTCATTTTCCCCAAAACGTCCTTTTGGATCCTGATGCTTGTCTCATCCTCCATTTCTTGTGTCCATTCTGGAGAGAGCTGCGTATCTACAGTTTCAGCTTCGTTAAACCGCTTTATATAGTCGCGGTACCAAAGGAAGAACTGTAGGTTCTCGGCCGAGTGCTCGATGTGGAGTAGATAGTTCATAAAGTCGCGGACGGTACATGGCTTCGAAATATGCCTGTATTAGTCTACGGGCTGGAGTGGTGTTGATTTGAGGTACACACTGGACAAGTTCCACCGCTCATGATTTGATCAAAGGTGAGGGCTTCGGGAATACTAGATGAAGAGCCTGGGTGGCCTGACTTGAGTGAAGCATCACTACTTTCACTTTCTTGGCTGTTTGATAGGAATTGTTTCTTATCTACATATGCCGGCCGCTGATACCCGAGTGAGAGGGATCCCATATTGAGATAAATATTCGACAATAGCCGGATGTCTTTAAGCTTTTGATACGAAGCTTTATAAAGCTACTATGTATGATTTCTAGCAACGGTTTGTAGGTGCCCGGGATGAGTAAAATAGACGATAGGTATAGGATCTTAGAGCGAATATATTGAGAGTTAGGACCGGGGTCTTCTCTCCTATCTAGACTATAGAGTGGATTGGCCTAATAACCAGCTGATGTCTTACATCTAGGGGCAATTATATCCGAGGGTTAAGGTGCCAACATACAGTCACGAAGCTTGTGGGGAACAGCCAGAAACGACTGCATTAATACCAGGAGCCTATTCTTAGAAGGTCATTTATTTTTCAAGCCGGTAACCAGTAATTAGAACTTAGAAGCTTCTAAGCATATTTTCTCTTGACTACGAGTCAACAGTAAGTTTCTTTGGATTCGTGAACTACTTATAGAGCCTGCCTTACGCTATTGTGATATTGAATTTGAAGGCATTGCTTTAAATAGTTAAGCACGGAGCATGGAGTAGAGCCTCGACGTTTTTTGAGCCAGGCAAGCGCTGGTTTCCCTCATAAAATCTTCCAAAGATCCATGCTTGTCATCTGGCTTAAGGGATACTCTCAAAGACGGAATAGCCACAACTTCTTGAACTCAACTAGCTGTCTAGGCTTCAGTAGGCAGGAAACGTATACCAGTGGCCCGCTCGTTGATTGGACAAGTGGCACTGATGATGATTCAAGACAGCTTGAGCTCGCCGAGGCTAATAATGCCCGCTAAGAAGAAAGCTAGGATTCGGTTAGCTAGCTTAATTGGAGGCTAATAATAAAGCTTTTAAGAGGCTTGGATGAGATAAACAGCTTCACGGACACTTCTTGTGGAGACAGCTGAGAAGTCGAGAAGCTAGGAGCACGGGCGAGAAACCCCTGAGCTGGCCTTACCGTCCCCACAATATGATCGGCGATATAAAATCTACGAGATCGCTACAGGGGTTGTGGTGTTATGTATCGGGTCTTGATCTTGTGCCTCTTAAGCACTGCAAGGTTGCGGCGGTAGTTGACATGTGCTTATAAGTACCTGCTAGGCAAGAAACAGTTCAAGACTCTTTATAGAACAGTAGAATATATATAAATCGTATCGTCTAAATTCATACTCATTTTCTTAGGGGATACGTCTCGATTCTATCCTTAGTAGCGAAGCCATCTTAACATCTATTTTTAGCTTGTATATTTTGTATTGGTACACATTTCTTTTTGTGCAAGGACGTTATTATCACTTCGATATTGGAGGCTAAGTTAGTGTTTACCATAAGATTGGTACGGTTATTAGTAGAAGTGAGCTGTAGCCGTCGGAGCATGATGAATCATGTCTTATATTTAGTTGTTAAAATACTAAGAGACTTTTAGCGAGTCAAGAACTAATACGGGGGAGCTGGTCTGCTGAAGTAGAGATGTGTTAGAACTATGTTTCTAAAAGCGCTTTAGTAATAGATTATTATAAGATGTAGGTAGGTAGTTATAGCAATACGGATATGTCCGGGTAGAGTTGATATGAACTGAGACCTAGGTACCTATTAATTAATAAAGGAGAAAGAGGCCTAATTTATAAGAGAGAAACAGAGGTGGATTTCAAATCCAGCTAGGTATCCTTATAGATAGTTCCTTTTGCTTATTCCATCAGCACGTATAAGCTCGGGTCTAGCTCCGGAAAAGAAATATATACTAAACCCCTTCGCGTCTCCTGTCGTACGATATGTGCATACGCTACTCAGCCCCCAGGGGCCGAAAGGGCTTAAGACATGTGTATCGTTCCTGGATCAATCAAGTGGCTAGGAAGCAAGATTTGGAGCTCTGCCCTGGTTGGAAACCATGCGGCTTGCACTTAGGATACTATGCTAGTGTTTCACGCATACGCGCACTCATCTAGTAAGAAGTATTGTATCGTGGCTTTGTTATTGGTGTTGCTATATCAGACGGCTATTGATTAACCATTAATGAGGGATAGGAGAGGATCATTAATTCTTCCTATCTAATCCCTTTATATGTTTTGCTAATTCTCTCGAGCACCCATAACTTTGGTAACTATCCTGGCTTCATTAGTATTAGAAATCCCCGTATAGACTCCAAACATAGCAATTATAGCAAGTGATAGTTTTGCTATTATACTAATTCTTATAGGTAGCATATTGCTTACACCAAAGTCCCTGATCCATTGATCCTTCAAGCCATACGACAACATCATCTTTTTGAATATACACCACTACTCGGCCAATATGTCCTCTCGAGTTACCAATGCTTCTCGGAGATGGGAACTGTATTCACATCCACACCATCCTTATACCACCTCTCTTCGTGGGTAATCTTGACATCGTTACCGCTCACTAGCAAGCACGCAGCCAAGTTAGCAGACACATACATATATCCGCGAACGCGAAAATGGCAACGGCGAAGAGGCTTTGGGAAATCCAGATAAGAAGCGCAAGGCGCAAGGAACTTACTCTGGCGCTTCCTCATCAAGCCATCGTCGGCAAAAGTCCAATCCTCGAGCCCGTACGTCCGCCACCACTGACCATGCGCGTCGTGCCACTCATACCAGAACTGGACGGCGATCTTGTTGTCCGTAAAAGCGAAAAGCTCCTTGCGGAGCCGGTATCCCTGCTCGCGCTCCCATTTCTTCGTGAGGAAGGCCTCGATTTCGTCTCGGCCCTGCAAGAAGGTGCCTCGGTTTCGCCAGATAGAGTCGGGCGTGTAGGCCAGTTTCACTTTTGCCGGGTCCCTTTCGGAATGGCTGGTTAGTTTTATATTTTCCTTAGTTATGTTATATCTACCATGAGATTGATCCCAGGATCTATCTCCCTAGTTGTCTTTTTCGAGAGAGAAAAGGAGAGAAAAGGGATAAACGTACTTGGTGTTCCAGGCATCTTGAGCAGCCTTCACTTTGACCTGAGCAGTTTCGGCGGTGAAAGGCGGGTACGGAGGCTTTCCCTTATTGTCGCTGGCCATAGTGTTATATTTGCACTTATTTCTTTTGTGCCCTCTAATTTGTTTTTGTTATGAGTGGCTGTTATCAAATTGACGCAGAAGTATAAAAATCTCTTTATTTCTTCTCTCTTATATATATCGATATTTTACTGCTAGACTTAAGCTCCGTCGAATGAAGCAGCGAGTCAAAGATCAGGACCGGAAATGACTACGCGCCGGTGTCTACAGCGCCGGACCCCGCTCGGCCGCTCTCGGGATTCGAGAACGTAAGCATTTGCTATACGTCTAACCTCATCTAACCTCATCTAACCTAAACCATCTATTTTTCCTCGGGGTTCGAAGTTAGGGTGATTAATCGAAGGCATAACTGGTCGATTTGTCCCTCCTTTTCCGCTTCAATTCCCGCGCGGCGAGGCCCGATGGTAAATCAAAAGGTGCGCCGAAAGAAACCGGACATCGGTGTTAACCTAGTGAAGTCAAGCATTCTTTTTGACATTGTACTACGCAAGACTTGACCGGAATTTGGAATCCAGGGGTATGATGTTATAGGTAACATCGGGGATGACTTATTTGAAATACTGTTACTCTGTTAGCTAATATACCTACCTAGGTACCTAGGTACACATGTCATGTCATTGCGCGTTTCCAAGTTACATTTACATATTCTGATTCTGATCGATCAAACCCTAGTTTATACGTAACCAATTCCAAATTTATCAAACTTTTCCCCTTCACATGCCTTCTTTAGCTTGGCAATCAAATAGTCTATGCAAATCCGCTTGCTAGCCCCCCCACCCTGTAAATCCATCCTGAGGTTCCGAAACGTGCAATCCTTAAACGGCCCTTTTCCTAAATGTTGGATAAAGAATGATATGGGCGTTGTCCTGTAGGTTGTTGATTTTGTGCCGAAGATGACTATATAAGCTCCTTAGGCGGGTGAAGAAGAGGAAGAATTACTAAAGCGTATCGATAGGAGATGTAGTACATGAGGTAGCTAAGGAACATAAAAATACCTATCTGAATGACGAAATATTAGTTAAAGCTGGCGAGCGGTACGGGCGGCCGCACCTGCTGGGAGCTAGTTACATAACAGGTATGTTAGGTACCTACCGTAGGTACCTACCTACATGTATGTACAATACTGGGTCACACTAAATAAATATTAGGTATGCAAGTCACACATTCTTTATCTGATCTATCGCTTGTAACAAATCAAACCCCTCTTACCCTCTTACCGTCAAGGTTCCTTTTACCCCACCAAGGACATCTAAACCCCACCATCATCATAACACAATTGGCAATGGCGGCAAAGAGGTGATGCCAGCGCGCTTATTATATTAATTTATATGCGTCGTGCGTCGTGACCGCGCGGTAACATGCCGGCCGAAGTCGAGTATTTACGAATATTGATGCATGTATGTATACCTTAGGTAGTTATACATGTATGCAAGTATAAATGCAAATACATAAGGTACATGCCTACCTACATGTAGGTACCTTAGGTAGGTATATAAGGTACATATGTAGGTTAATATACAAGGTTATACGTACCTAGGAAGTAGTAATGGAAATACCCGTAGACTTTGAAAGGGGAGGCACGTAGTAAAACGGCAGGGTCGATGGGACGGGATCCTCGGTATCCGAACTCGCAACGCTATCTCAGACTTGGCTACCATCTTACTGTAACAATAAATCGCCTTGTCCCGATCCCTCGTCTCGAGCTGTCGAGAGCTATTTAGAGCTATATAGGTAGGTATCCAGCCACTTCCACAAGACTTGACACTTCTGGATTCCCTTTTCATCTTCATCTTCATCTTCATCTTCGTCCACAACCACAACCACACAACTATATCCCTCGCACTTCGTCTTCTATATACAAAGTAAACAACAGCCACCTTAAATATCAACCCATATACAAATCAGCAACAATGACTACCCTCAAAGCCGGAGACAGCTTCCCCGAAGGCGTAACCTTCACCTACGTCCCCTACACCCCAGAACTCGCCGGCGTAACAGCCTGCGGCATCCCCGTCAAGTACGACGCCAGCAAAGGTAATAATCTAATCTTTAACCCCTAACCCCCTTTCCCTTTTTCTAAAACACAAAGCAACGTATAACTAACCCCCCTCCCCCACTCGCAGAAGCCAAAGAAAAGAAACTCGTCATCGTCTCCGTCCCCGGCGCTTTCACGCCCACCTGCCAAAATACTCACATCCAGGGCTACATTGAGAAGCTACCTCAACTCAAGGCCGCCGGCGTCGACCAGGTCCTAGTCATCTCCTACAACGACGCCTGGGTCCAAGCAGCCTGGGCCAAGGCCAACGGCATCAAGGACGAGATTGTAAGTTGCAATTCCTTCCTTCCTCCCTTCCTTCGTCCCCATTCCCCATCTATTCCTCTTTTCCGAAACGGGAATATTCAGGACGCAGCGAAAACCTTCATTGGACGCCACATCTCTAAGATGGCTATCGCGCTCCAATCATACCAAACTCAACAACCAACTAACAACAAGTCAAAAAAACAACAGATCTTCGCCTCCGACGACGGCGCCCCCTTCAGCAGCAGCATCGGCTGGACCCTCGGCGCCCGCACCGCCCGCTACGCCATCGTCGTCGACCACGGCAAGGTCGTCTACGCTGAGAAGGAGCCCGACAAGGGCGTCACCGTCTCCGGCGTCGACGCCGTCCTGGCCAAGCTATAGGCAAAATGACTTATCTACCTTACCCATGATACCAACACCAAACCCGGATTTCGAGCTACAGAGTGGGATGATAGAAAATGGACAGAACCTAGAAAGGAGACGGGGTCAAGTTTACTGAGACGTACGATGAGTAGGCGCGGTTCGATCCTACGTGAGAAAACATCTATCTGGCTAGCCGGCTAGGTTCTCTAGAATGAAGCCTTCTCCGAATTAGAAGTTAGTAGATAAACTACATTTATAATAGATTCTATTCTGCTTATTTAATGGCGCCTTTTATGTATCGTACTGTCTAAGTTTGCCGATGAAAGTCGGAATCCTGGATATTGTTGGTACGAGTTATTTCATAAGAGATTTTATAAATGCGCACTCGAAGACGTGAACTAGGAATACAGCAACAAGACATCTCATTTCACAAGGTGAAAGGGAACCACGAGATATGCGAATTCAGACCGTAGAACGAGCTGGTATTATGAAGCTACCAGGTTTGGAATTCCCATGACCGTATTAACTAACCATGAGAGATTCCATGCATTCCCCCCAACCGAATAGATGCATGTGTGTGCTACGTGAAGGTTTCTCTTTATTCGCAATCGAGGAAGAAAACTGTTTCCCACCGAAGACGCCGCCGCCGGACGCAAGAGGGCTACTACTACAACAACAACACTAGAAATGCTATGCCGTATCGTCACCGCCCCTTTCTCTCTTTTTGTCCTCGTACCGCTACTTAAAAAACCATTCACCCTAGGAACCTCTCGCCAGAAGATTGGCCTAACAACCCCCGAACCAAAACCCCAAGACCCGAACTTGACTTTGACAGACAGACAGGGGACTGAGCGACTGGCGTGGCTTAGCGGGTGTTGGCCTGGATCTTGGGCTGGGCGCCGCGGGCGCTCTGCTTGCCGACGATGCGCTGGGTCTGGCCCTTGGCGGCGGTGGTAGCCTTCTTGGCCTTCTCGGACTTCTTGGCGGCGGCGGCCTCCTGCTTCTTCTCCTTGGACTCCTTGATGGCGGCGGCGCGGGCGGCGGAGCGGGCCTCGGGTCGCATCGATCGCTTCTCCTTGATCACGTCGAGGGAGGCGCCGACGATGGCTCGCTGGGCCTTGACGGTGCGGCGCGTGCGCTTCTTGGCGACTTCCTGCGGCGGGTGTTAGCGTATCGTCTCGACGTGTGTGTGTGTGTGTGTGTCTGTCTGTCTGTCTGTTCGCGGTGACGAAATATTTGAAATTTCGCCATCGTCAAACCCGAGAGACGCGAGCGGGAGCGTACCTCAGAGATACCCTTGCGGTGTTGTCGTCGGAAGAGAACGGTCCATGAGATTCGGCGGGGGTTCTTTCGCTGTAGGAAGAGCGACTCGGACTTGCCGTTCTGGAATCGGAAGACTTTGCTGTCGCCTCGGACGTAGAGCTTACCCTGTTAAGACAGTCGCGTTAGTATTGCTGTTGTATATCACGTTAAAATGAAACCTCGTGATCGAGTGCTGCTCCATCGCATCGTCCCTCTCTTTATTCTTCTGGTCCTCCTCGGGGATTGCAGCAATTGACGCAATGTAATGGTCGGACAATACGGAATCGAATTGGGGAGTGTGCGTACCTTGCCAGGGTAGATCCTCTGACCGGAGAAGGTGTCGTCGTAAGTTCTCATGGTGGCGGTTGTTGTGCGCTGAGAACTGTGAGGTTAGTAGTTTCGAGGTGGTTTTAGTTGGATTATGTTAAGAGGACGAATTTCGTAAATGTCAAAGTTGCGCACTTGTGTGGGTTGTATGACTAAGCCCCATCGTTTTTTGGCCTTTAGGCTTTAGGGTCTCGCTTGATGTGGCTTGGATGATGGAACGTGGCTGGTGCTGAACAAACAGTGGACCTCTATACATCCATGTGTTTTAGGTAGGTAATGTTCTATTATTGCAATATTTTGTTTGTTGCATACTACATGCGATATTTACATAGTCTCCTATCTCTTCTGACTTCGCCGACTCTACATTATATCTAGGCTCTCTCGACTTTGACTATATGTTTTGTTGGGTATGATATTCTTATATTTAAAGCTATTCTAATAACTCTTTAAATTCTATTACTTTGTTAGATTTACTATCCAAGACTCAAGGCCCCGGATATACTCCAATGACTATCACAGCAGACGACATCGCTGAATTGGTACAAAAACATTACAATTCTCTTCCAGCAAAGAGGAAACCACTCTTCAGAGGCAATGGATTACGCGAGTGGGTGCCTCTGGCTGGAATAGTAGCTCAAGGTATATATATCGCGGCCTTCCCCAATCTATTCTACATATAGCTTTAGCTCTTTTAACCGTAGCTTGTACATATGAATATCAGGTCCTCATAGACTAATACCTAACGATAGGAAAACATGGTGAACTCAAGTGTCTAGCCCTCGCGTAGGTCAGCCTCTCAGAATCTCACGGTCCCTAAACACGTTCACCTGGGCGATAGCAGAAGCCCCTAAGATCTGACATGGCGCCGGTCTAGGACAGGCATGAAATGCCTCCCCATGTCCAAAGTATCGCAAGCACAGGGGAACGTGCTGCACGACTGGCATGCGGAAGTGCTGGCTATACGGACATTTAATCGCTTCGTACTTGACGAGTGTAAAGCACTGGCTCAAGGGCACTCGTCTGAGTTTCTACGATGGAGGACTACCGATGAGATAGCTTCGAGTTGTTGTGATGATCCTCAAGTAGGGGAATTAGAAGGACAAGGAAGTGAATGGTGTGGACAGCCTTTCGCTTGGAGGGAGGATATCCTCCTACATATGTACTGTTCTGAAGCACCTTGTGGCGATGCAAGCATGGAGCTGATAATGGCGGCTCAAGAAGACGCCACGCCATGGGAACTACCATCAGTAAATCTCGCCGGCCCCCTTTCCACTACTGATCCCTCAACCTCCCTACCCGGCCGCGCCTACTTCTCCCAACTAGGCGTCGTCCGGCGGAAACCTGCCCGTTCGGATGCGCCGCCTACGCTGTCCAAGTCGTGCTCCGATAAACTAGCTTTACGGCAATGTGTCTCGCTGCTCTCGTCTACAACCGCACTCCTAGTCGACCCGCGCCACGTCTACATACACACCCTAGTCATGCCGGAATCCCGGTACTCCGAGTCAGCATGTCGCCGCTCGTTCTCCTCCTCTCCTATAGACGGACGTATGAGAAGCATGGGATCGGCGGGAAAACGAGAAAAACTAAAAGGAGAAGGAGAATCTCCTTACACTTTCCGCCCCTTCGCCATCAAAACAACGACATACGAATTCGCCTTTTCCCAGCGGACCGTAACCCAAGCTGCCACCAGAAGCTTCAACCAAGATGTCACCACCAACGAGCAGAAGAAACCAACTGGGCAGAAAGTATCAGCCAGCAACATCTCGGCAGCTTGGACGCGCTCCGGCCTCGAGGAAACGACGTTAGGCGGCATCCTACAGGGACGGAAACAATCCTCAGTCGACGCACGAGGGGCCAGCTTCGCTTCGAGGCGGAGGATATGGGGACTTGCTGTTGAGGTAACCGATTTACTTTTACTACGAGCGGGACAGGGGAAAGAGGTAGAACCTGTGAATACTTCCGCTATTGCTGATATACGAAAGGCGCTTACGGCAGAGACGTACGGCGAGATGAAGGGCTGTGCATTACTAGAGCCTCGAAGGCGAGCCAAAGACAAAGCTAGAGCGGAAGCACTAAAAGGATGGGTAAGGAATCTAGGCGATGAAACCTTCAACCTGTAATTATAGTAGGTAGGTAGGTTAGTTCATATATATCCTACTCAAAAGCACAATATGCACACGCAAGGCGGTCAATAAACAAGACGTTTACAACGTATTTCTTCTTATTTCGCACAAGTAGCAGCATCGATTCCTCACTGCCACGCCCTGCGTATCAAAGGTAAAACCTGCTAGCAGAACCTGGCGGAGGAACAAAATACGACTAACGCAAGTTGCTACCGTAGGGGATGGGTGGGAAATGGGGAGGCCCGAGCCCCTCGCGGACCCAGAAGCCAACCACCCAGCCCAAACTACCTAAAATGATGATGATGACGACGATGGTGGGCAGGGGAGGAGAGGGGAAATCCCACCATCGCCCCTAATTGATTGCAAAAGGACAGCTACCGAGGAACTCCCTTGCCGACCTTTCCTCCTTGCGCGAGAGACAGAACATGAGAGATAGAGAGAGAAAATACCACCATCAAACCAGATTCGACCAAATGCCCCATATTCATTCCCGTTGTTTCTATTTGCGTTCCGTTCCATTATATTATCTTTCCGCGTACTTCATTTTCGGTTCGTAAAAATGAGAAAAGGGTTGGCAGGGTGGGTTTGGATTGGGAGTAAGTCTGGTATCTTTGGTCCGCTTGTAATAGGTGTGCCGATTAAAAAAGTTGTTTATTCGACTTTGCTCTCGAAGTTCTCGCCGGCCACCAAGTCAGGAATGTCGTCATCATCTGCGTCCGCCTCCGCCTCCTTGGATTCTTTGGACATGCTCTGGTAGCTCTCAGCTAGTTTTCGGAGAGAAGCTAGGGAGTCGGGTCCGAGCTGGTTCAGGATGCCAGGGACAAGTTCCGTAAGCTCCTTGTCCTCACCAGCGCCGTAAATAGCAAATGTGTTGGAGGGAACCGCAGCGTGAACTAGTAGGTATTAGCAAGTGATTTTTTATACCTATTTCTATATACACAGGTGTGCATATATAAGTGATTTAAAAGATAAAATAAGAGACAAAAAGAATAAAAATAAATAAATAAAGAAAAATAAAAACTCACCCTTAGGAGCGGAGAAGTGAATGACATTTCCGTCACTCTTAAACATGTTGACCTCCTCGATGGCCTGGATAGGCTGGGTGTTGAGCTTCTTCAGCGTAGCCTGTAGCTTCTTGTCGTCGTTGGCGCTTCGAGCAACATTCCGCTTTTGCTTGTGTCGCGGGGTTCCCTTTCCACCTGCGCACCACAATTTTTATTAATCGCTTGCTTCTTTAATGGAAATTAAAAATTCGGCCATATTACGTACCGGTACGCGAAGGCGCTGCGCCGCCGAACTTCTTCTTGAGGATCTCCTGCACGTCCGCCATGGTTGTGGGCAGAGGTATCTCTATTCCGGTGTTCGGGGTGGAATGGTTGGTGGGTTGAAAGAGAGCAGAAGGGCTAAATAAGCTGAGATAGTGGTTAGCTATTGTATTTTGTCGATGAATTTTGGTGCGGGACAGCTTAATAAAATCTGTTTACGACAAAAAAAACAAACAAACAAGATTGAATGTTTACAGAATCTCAAAAAAATAAAAAATATATAGATAAACCTAACTTACCTCGAGAGGAATTGCGATATTTTTCTTTGGTCGTCAGAATATCGTAGCTCTATCAATCAATCAATCATCAATCGAGGGGCGATGAGGCCTGAAGTTGGGGCGAGTCGGCATTGGGAAATTGTGCGTTGCCAAGACTTTTTCCTTTTTTCGCTTGAGGATCAACCCTCTTCCGCCAAACTTACCTTAACTTACTAACTACGTATTATGTATCTAACCAATGGATATATACCTTAGGTAGGTAACTATGCATTTATCCATTCACCCACCTCATGCACTGCACTCACAGACAGTATCGTGATGCTTATTGTCAACTTTCTTCCTCTCAAACTTCTTTTTTACAATGAGCATTAGTTCAAATCGGGAATTCACTGCTATATTATTAAGTCAAGAGACAGCAAACTATGGTGCACGGCTACTTTGGCTAATTTAGCTATCTAAAACCACCTCATGTCTTCCCCCCTCCTGATCGTGAACACATCGCACAACTCCAACCTCTTGCAGGTCAACTTTCTCATCATGTCTCATATACCATCCTAACACTCTTGGGTGGGCATGTTATCATGTAAACTAGTCAGCCAGTCTAGATAGAGCATCCATACCCGTATCTTCGTCCTCTTCCAGCTCCACTAGTTCCTCGTGGGTAGTGGATTGCTCCTCGACCACTTCTGTCACTTGGGTCGCTTGTATGCTTTGACCAGCATAGAGGCTTCTAATTTCATCCATTTCCTCCGATTTACTGATACTGGCGCCCATGATTTGCATAAATTCGTCATCGTCGCCTGTGTAGTCATCATCTAATGGTGCTGTCGTCGGCTTGGGTACCTCCTCTAATTCGAATTCGTCCTTCGCCATGGCTATTCGACCTAGCTCGTACTCAAAAACCCACGGGAAACTAATCAACGGCATCGTGTCTACCATTGGTTTTGCTTCCCCGGCGGCTGCTGGCACTCGCCCTAGTGCGATCTGCACTTCTTCCCATGTGATGCGGTAGGTAGCTGCTACCACGGGATATAAGGCGTCAGGATCTCTGGATCCCGCCAGCTTGATGCAAGCATCCCTGAAGCGTTCTCTATGACTCGTCATTACTGGCTCCATATTCTCTTGCCGCTTGTATTCGCCTCCAAGTCGGGGTTTGGACATCATAAATGTTGACCAGGCTTCGAATTCAGTTTCAATATCATACTGATTCATGATTTGTCGCATAGCCTTATCATGTTGTCTTTTTACCACCCTCACTGTCTTTAATAGCTCGTCTTTTAGCGAATATCTACGAAGAATTCTCTGGTCGAATGTGCTGTCTAACTCCGGTTTAAATTCAATCTGCGCCACTTGGTCGTATAGTCGACCAAGAATCTTTATCGAGCGATATGTTCTGCTTGGTGACTTCTCCATAAAGTGCGGGTAGTTTTTTGGTCGCAACGACGCTCTCAGGTAAGCTTCCTGTCCAGTTTTTGGGTAGTCGACAGCATTGGAATGTAGGCGTGCCAACTCGATGCACTGCGGGTCCTTGGGACCATCGGTTAATGCGTCGCACTTGGCCAGGTGGGCATGAGCAATGGTGCTGAGCGAGTCATTCTTCATATAGCTGACGAAAAATGAAATGAGATCCGTTAGTCTGACATCCCGATCAAGTTCTTTTGGCTTAAGACTGTCCTGTTTCATAGGGGGGTGGTTCCACTCCGTAGGTATAAGCCGAGGATCCCATATCACAAAGTAATCGTCCCCGTCAAGATCTCCCCCAGAACACATAGAGGGAATATCGCGGTCTCCAATCGTGGGGAATACAACAACGTCGTGGAGGTGTCTTAACGCCGGAACGTCTACGGCCTCCACTACTCGAATATCTCCAGGATGGAGCGATGGGTTCCTCCCGAGCACGCATATTCCAGTTATAACGGTGTATTCACCTTGCTCTCCTGGCCTCATACCCATCTTCGGTACTTGCAAGAAAATCTGTGGCAAAGTATTCCGGTCTTTACTTTGGCTAAATTCGGCTGCGTCTGAATGACCTCGTAACGTGCGAGTCTCATCTGCGCAACCAAAAACAAATGCGCCCTTGTCAACCATAATACGAGCCTTCTCGCGAAGTAGTCTCATCGACCAGGCACGCCAAATGTGTAGTAGGATCATAAAAAAGGGTTCTTTGGTTTCCATGAACCCGTCTGCAATCATTTGTGCCATTATTGTGGTGATCCCATTCTGATCAACGTATTTGCTAAGTAGTTGCATAGCAAATTCGGCATCAGTCATGGCACGCTCGTAGTCGGCGATCTGTTTCTTCATCATCTCCTCAAAAGCCTCGTCTGGTACGCCAAGGCAGCTTAGAATAGTAATAGTCTGTCGATTTAAAGTTGCGACAGAAAACCTAGACGTCTTGATAATTTCGAGGCCCTTCGAAACTGCGTTGAACTTCTTCTGCGATGGTCGTAGGTGAACCTCGTTGAAAGGCACATCGGGCCACTGTACTAGAATCCCCTTACTACCCCCGAGCCTAAACTGGAAAGCCGACGGGAGAGTTTTTGTGGTCCTAGTCATGTCAAGATTCTGCATGAGGAACTTTGCGCGGCTGAATGCTATCTTTCCAACTCCATCGGTGAAGCACCAGCCGTCACGCTCAATATCATTAATGTGTACAATTGCTTGGCCGATTGGCGATGCTTTGGGTATCCTCGTTGTCGAGAAGCATTGTCCAAGCCGGGAAGCATACTTGGCCACGACTCGGATGTGATTAACGTCGCCCATCCAGTTCCGGATGTTATCGCAAGTTAAGAAGTCTGTTGGGCAGAAGAAGTATGCGCCGTGTTCTCGAAATTGAGAGTTCCCAGTGGCAAGATACTGGAAATGACGACCGCCAATCCGTATACCGTTCTGTAATGCTCGATGTACTCGATTAAATAGAGCATTGTCTCGCGTAGTATCGGGATCAGAGTAAATACGACCCTTAATAAGCTCATCTGTGAATTGAACACGTATAAACCGGTCTTCGTAGTTGGTGTACTGACGCAGAACGCGGTTTGACGGCTCCGGTGCTGGGCTACTGAGATACATTGTTGTAGGTGTGACTACTACTTTTCTGACCCATATGCAGTGTCTTGGGAGTGAGATTTCCGGGTAGTGGCCCGTCGCTTTTCTGTCTTCAAAAAGCGACATCGGATCGTATATCCTTTTCTCATCAAGCTTGTCCCGGCTCTCGATGCGACTTTCGACACGAGACTGCAATACATACGTCAAGAGGTCTTTTGCTCTATCCCGACGTTTAGTACGACCCCTCGAGAGGTTTGCCAGCCTTCGGAGAAACTCAGTAGTAATGTTAACCTCGTTGAAAATACCCTGGGAGATGCATGCTTCAAGCTGATATCGGACGTCGTAGGGAAGATATATGTCTTCAGTGTCGGCGAGAAGTGCTAAATTGGCTTTAGACGTATCTACGCCAGGCTGTTGAGGTTCAAGTGCATCCCAGAAGCTTGATACCAACGATGGAACTATCTTGATGTCATTTGAGCTTTTTTGATCTATAACGATGTTGAATTCCTGGAGAGCTGCTTTCATTTCCTCCCATGCAACGAGAGAAGACTTCGTGAACAAGAGCCGGTAAGTAGTCCATCTTCCAATGTTAATAAACCGATTGGTTCTAGGTAGTAGGACGGGTTCGTCTCTGAACCATGATGTGTCGTAAGCAATGTCGACAATTCGGTTCCATGCATCGCGCTCGTCTTTCCAAGTGTTCTTGCTGCTTGAATGTGAGTTGGCGTAGTCGCATTTTCTATAGAAAAGGGGCGGGTTAGGTAAGTGGATAAGTAGCGCCCATGTGTTCTCATCGATGTCTATAAAGACGATCTTTTTGACATGTATAAATGGAAATTTTGCTTTGTATTGCAGCGTATGTTCCATCTCTCCAATAGGTGAAAGGTGTTTTATGCTAGGGTCTTCGCGACGTGGATCTGTGATGCTGCATGTAAATGCAATCTCTAGTTTTTTCTGATACAGATCAGATGCTAGAGAAAATTGACCTCTCATGTTGTTTTGGATTGTTTGCAACGGCATCACTTCATCCTCACGCGCAAGCACCCCGAATTGAAGCGCAACCATTGTAATACTCAAAAATGGCGGGTAACTACGGTTATTAGAACCAGGTACTCGTCGCTCCCGTCTCTCCTTCTCAAGTTCAACTTTCACTTTGACTGATTGACCTTGAATGTTGAGTACCATTACATTGTCCCAGAATTGACGAATAGGAGGCGGTGAGAAGCGGATGCGGCCACTTCCTTCTCGAGTCCCATTATTATTTTCAAAGAGCTCGATAAAAACGACCTCCCCGTCCTTCTTGAAGTGAGACCATAGGTCAAATGTGGTAGTATTGGGCGGGAGGCCGCGTATACGGAGGCTGATATCAGCCCACGATGACCACTCAGGCTTAATGCCGAGAGTATTAGTTGATCGGAGAGCCTCAGATCCATATTTGGGATTTGACTGCCCATGACGTTTTGGGGTCGATGTTACAGGGTAAGATTGCACATCTGTATTACGACGTGGCTGCTGACCTTGATATGAACCGTAGGCTGGAGGGGTTCTTCGAATATGGTTACGGGCTCCTCTATGCGCGTGATTGGAGCCACCTCGATTCTTGTTTGGAGATTTGAGAGTTCCTAGGCCTCTTGAATTAGGTGGAGGTATGTTATTAGACGATTGATAGAGATCATCCTCGGGAGGGACACTACCTCCCCCTTCCAATCTCTGAGTACTGCCTCTAAGGAACGAAGAGGCAGGTGGTCGATAAAGGCTTGAGCCTCCACGGGATTTACGAGCTTCACGAGCCATTATATTAGGAGGCTTAAGGTGAAACTTCGACTAGATCATGTTTTTTGTTAGCTAAAGTGAACTATAAGACCGAGTCGTTGTCCGAAGAAAGCAGGAGTTACTGCAGAAGTGAGTAGTAAAGTGGGAAGGATCGAGGTGGAAGGAGATCCAGAATTGAAAGAGACATTGGTAAGTGTGTTTGATGAAGGTTGTTTGCTAAGTGTCGACTTAATCAATGGGATAGTGATGGAAAGAGTGCGAATAGATGTGAAGGAACCTGGAGATATACTAACATTGAGCGTCTTGTTTGGGTTAACGAAGGAATTCCATCAACATGATTGTCTGTAAAGAAAAGAAAGTTAATGATTAGTAGAGCTTAGGTCGAAAGCTTGATAGAGAAGAGAAAGATAAATTAGTTGGATGAAGGTGTTTGGTGTGATGCAAAAATTGATCAAGGGAAGGATGCTGTCGCCTAAATTATATCAAATACAACCTAAACTACTAGGTTAGTGACTACATAACTACCTCTTCCTAAGGTTACTTCCTTCTTTCCTTAAAGTCTCCTATGAGCAAGTACCCAAGTACATACCTAAGATAAATGCAGCTTCCCCAACCGGATTGGCAATTACCATGGCAATGCGATAGGATGAGTACGTAAGGTACATGTAAACATAGGTGGAGATATCTAAGGTACTGCTAGGTCACACCTACTCTGAATTTGTTCTTAGAAGTTGGCATTAAGCACTCGACTTAATCGTAAACTCTAGTTTGGTATCCGAAGATTGTTTTATAAATAGGTACCTACCTACCTAGGTACCTTTATGCAAACCAATACCGCTTGAAATGTTTCCACTCATAATGTAAAGCATCCTGCATCTAGCCGAAACGCCGCAGACCGCTTGCTCACACGCATATCTTGTACCTTGAATTTTATCTTAGTATAATGACTCACATAGTTATGAGATGCTCAACTGAATCAAAATTGCTCCAGAGTCTTAAAATCTATTGTGTTCGGATGATTAGTACGACCAGTCCTAAACTCCAACTAGGTATATTGCTACTGGCATGTACTTACATTATAGTATTTGATTTATACTAACGATACTAATAACTTCCTTACAATGAAGCTATCGTATGGGCGGGAGCTGTATATAATAATTAGATGGGGATACTTATTTGCTATCTACCTATGTAGTATATACAGTACGATTAGTTATACGAGATAAACCATAGGGACCAATTTCTCGAGCACCGAGGAGTGGTGCGCTTTTTAAGATATTATTCGATAAAGTAAAACCCCAAACCCACCGAGGAGATCCTGGATAGAAACCAGTAAGAAGTCCATCTAAACGAAATACATAAATAAATTTTCAATGATATCTAAAAGGCCATATTGATACTATCCCATGATGAGGTATGCAAGATCCTGTTTACCCGCTACCTATCCAATCAAACCCAAAAAAAGGGACAAGCAACTTTTTTCTCCGATAACCCATATGCAAAACATGCTAGCAAACTTCTTCTTCTTCCATGTCTTATCCCTCTCATGCGCCGAATTGTGAGACCGTTTCTCCCTCACACAAGAGATTGGGTGGAAAGGGGGGGGAGGGGGGGGAGGGGGAGGCGTCATCAAGGCAGGTCCATGATCTTGCCCGGGTTCATAATCCACAGGGGATCGAGCGCCGACTTGATCTGCTTCATGACACCCAGCGTGTCTGGGCCAACCTCTAATAAGAGCGAGTCCTTTTTGCCCCAGCCAACAGAATGCTCGCCCGTACATGTCCCCTCCATATCCAGTGCTCTCTTGACCATGTTCTTCACGCACTTCTCTACTTTATCGAGTTCTTCCTTCTTCGTCCGGTTGTAGATAATGCTCTCGTGAAAATTGCCGTCCCCGATGTGGCCTAGAATACTGGCGAATAGACCTAGCTCGTCCATCTCCTTTTTGCTGACTTCGATGATGTCTGCTAACCTGCTGAACGGGACTGCGACATCGGTAGACCCTATGAAAATCGGTTAGCGAGGGTTTAGAATCTTTACGTCTCATATGAAGCGATCAGGAATATCGAGGACCGCTGTAAACGAATGTCTTGCCATGAAACTAGACACATCTCAAGAGCCAGAACCGAAGAGGGACAACTTACAGACTTCCTCGCCTTCTTTTCTCAGAGCCAGCATTGACCATAAAGATTCCTTCCTTGCTGACCACAGGAGCTTCTGCTCTCGGAGATCCTTGGCGAATTCGAAATTGCTGCCCTTATTGTTTTTTGCGATGGCTTGAACGCGGGTGATGTTTTCCTTTACGCTGGTCTTTGTCCCAGAGAATTTGAAGAAAAGCGTCGGCTCTTCTTTCCATACCCGGGGCGCTGTCGCTCCACCTAAATTGACGACCTTCATTTGAACCTCATCCATGATTTCCATAGCTGCGATGGGGACGCCGGTCTGCATGACCTCCGCCGCTGCGGAAGCGGCATCACGGATTGTGGGGAAAGTTACCACTGCCACGGAGAATTCTTCAGGGACGACGGCAAGCTTTAGAGTAGCTTACAAATTGTTAGTGCTTACCTATATTATAACAAAAAAGGGAGGATTAATGCTTACCTTCGGTGACGAGGCCTAAAGTTCCCTCGGAACCGACAAACAAACCGTTGAGGTTGTAACCTGCCGAACTCTTCCTTGGACGTCTTCGCGTCTTAATGACGGTTCCGTCTGCCAATACTACGGTTAAGTTGATGACCCAATCTTTCATCGTGCCGTATTTAACTGCATTTGTGCCAGAACAATTGGTACCAACCATGCCACCAATCTTGGCGCTTGGGCCTAGAATTAGGAGTTTAGTTAGTCTCCTTTTTTGCGAGGCTTCATCTCGAGAATGAATACATGTAAAATAGGAGATGTGATCATCCCAAGGAATGAACTTTCCTCTATGCCGTATAGCAATGAGGTAAATTCACCTCAGGGGCTGGGCTCACTCACCAGGATCAATAGGGAAGAAAAGACCGCTACCCATTCTGCTTAGCTGATCGTTTAGATCTTGCCAACCAATGCTTGGCTGGACGACAATATCCATGTCATCTTTGTTGAACTGGATAATTTGGTCCATGTACGCGAAATCAACGCTGATGCCGCCGAAAGGAGCCGAGAAGTTCCCTTCCAAGCTAGAGCCTCCCGAATAGGGGATAATAGGTACCCGATATTTATAGCAAATTCGCGCGAGTATCGATACCTGGTCTGTCGAACGCGGATACACGACCGCAACCGGTAAGCCATCCGGATTCGTTGTCGACCATTCGGAATAGCCATGAGCCAGAAGGTCTTCTGGATCTGTACTTATGATGTCTTCCTCCTCACCACTTTTGGCAAGCTCACGGCGAATCTCTTTTAATGCCTATAATAAACTTAGCAAGGGACTTAGTAGGCTTTGCATCTTGGCCTACATCTACTTTTCTAAAGTAGGGTAATATATAGACTTACGTCCTCCATCTCATCTAATGATGCGTATTGAGGCATTGGCGTCTTGCTATCAAAAAGCGTGACAACACGCTTAGGAGGTCCTTGGAGTGTCGCAGAAGCAAGGCCGAATCCTAACAGGCTGGCGGTGGCTGTCAAAGCAAACACGGAGCGCCCGCTCCACCTGGTGTGATGATATGCCGGGTTGGTCCACGCTCGTTCGGCACTGGTCCCATTTTCACCACTAGGTTTCCTCAACGAGCGAGAAGTGTGAAATGTTCTTCTCCAAGCGTTCGGAAGACGCCCGGCGAAATGTTTAGCTGACATGAGTCGCGGATTTATAGGTACCTATGAAATTCACGTGTGAATAAATTAGGACGCATACGTTAGAGAAGATGGCACCGATGATCGAAGGGGGATATGGACGATTAAACCGGGACTAGGGGTTCTGGAGAAGTAATAATAGACCCCTTTGTGGTCAGGCTGGATCCCAGATATGACCTTTCTGTTCCTCTCTTAGGTAGAGGCGTCTAGAAGTAAGTTTCCCGCTCGAATCCGGAGAAAGCTTTCGCCCAGATCTTCGATCGGTGTTCAAGCCGTCGGACTAGAAGTCAAGACTGTCGAAGGGAATATTGACGTTTGGAAGACCCTGGATAAACCCCAAAAGGAAAGCCGAAATTGAGTTTAGTGGGCGGGGGTAGCCATATGGATAGAAAGCAGGTAAGAGTGGGCGTGTTCGTATTGTCGCCTTGATCCGGGAGGAGTGCGGCAGATAAAGGTAAGGGAAGTAATGGGAAGCCCCTGAGAGCGGCCTGATCAAATAATAAACTATAGTACTCGCTTGGGGCGAACCCCGAAAGTAGTTGAAGTGGTGCGGACTAGCCGTGATAGGATTTGTAAGTGGAAATGACTAACTCTAACCGTTCCTATAAGTGTCACGTATGCTCTTCTCTAGACTTGGTGGATGCTAGCGAATATTAAAGTAAAAAGTAGACGACTCCTTGATGCGGGCCAGGATATCAGAAACGATCAGTGACCCAATCACGACAACAAAGGATTAGTTACTAGTGCTTTTGAGGCACTAGATGTAGAGAAGGGTAGATGAGAGTAATAGAGACTAATATCGTTACTAGTGACTACTAACAGAGAGGCTCGGGAAAGGAAGGTGTCCAGCTTCGGCGAGAGACATACACTAGTAACGTCGAGTAAGGCTTCAGTAAAGAGATATAAAGGACCTACGTAAATGTAATACAAGGACGGCTAGCTAGGTGGGAGCTAGTCCCACGATTGGAAGTTGGCAATACGTCCATACCACGCCACGCCATGTTATCCCTGGTGCTGGGAGAGTTGACAGTTGTAAATTGGTAAGAAACGGCCCACAAGTATGTTGACGTTAAATGCCAATCGTAGTTTGCACTACCAGACGGCAACGAATAAGGATCAAGGCCGACATAGACAAGGGGGGGCTAGGAGGTGTGGGAGCGAGAGAACGTGTTAATGCTCCTAATACAGGTAGTGTGAGTATAGGGGAGGGGCTAAGTGGTCATATGGCTTCCTACTAGGCGGGAAGCTGATATAGCTAACCTAGTAGTTGAAGAGACGTTGGATATCCTTAAAGGTGATGAAGTGCAAAGAAGGAAAAGAGAAAAAGGAAAAATAGTCTGTTGATCTTTGTAGCAGGTCCCCGGTCTGTGGGGTTCGTCCCGCTAGGTACTTCCCAGGGCAGTGCATAATATTGTCACGAACTACATGTAGGTACAATTAGCTGCATCTAGTTATACGTATTGTAACGTATTATAGTCTTATATCATTCGTTGCCCATTGTCTAGTGAAGAAAGGATTTTCTTACCACGTTCAGCCCAGTATTCAAGTTGGATTCATAGGAGACGGTGTGACCATCTATGCCGACACGGTTACCCTGTCTGAACTTCCAATTACGTATAGCCAGCATGCGACTACTCGTCGATTTATTAGCAAAAAACAATTTATGTGTATGATGAATAGCCTGTTCGTAAAAACAGGACCTTGGAAGACCTAGGCTGCAGTGATATCGATTGAAGCGTTTCGAGCTACCGCTCTCACTGTGAGACGAGCTGACAAGACGGGACGGGCGGGATATATATGAAAAATAAGTAAGGTATATATGAGCGGGACAATATGTTGGTTGGTTAAAATGAATATATGCGTATATATGTTCCACACCACCATCTTCCATAGCTTATTTCAGCTCAAGGGGAAATAAGAAATACCAATGTCAACATGCTCGGTACGAAATACAGATGATACAGATTTTGAAAATAAATAATGAGGGGCTACAGCTAAGTCGAGACCGCCATTTTATTTTTCTAGTGTTCTTGATGAGGGGTAAATAGGTATTCAAAACATTCGGGATGCAATTATCAATCCTATCAATCCTTGGCCAAGGTGGATACATCAATATCCCACATGGCATCTTACACACCGAGTTGTATGTCCGCTACATCGCGTCCTATACTTGATTTCTCTTAGTATATAGTAAATAATCGAGCTTCTTAACTATAGACCCGTAACCCGTAATTGATTCAACAGGATAGGATCTTCATTAGCTTCTCAGTCCTACATGAAATATGCCTAATAAGTGTAGGAGTGGCATCAATACCCATCGTAGGACTAACATATCTTCTAGCTAGAGCAAGCCTCACCGGCCCATATGAAGCATGTATCCCTCAAATCATATTCATCATCTAACTTCTATGTTTGATTTTGTTGCAGTGGCCGTAGGTCCAAGAACGGAGCCTCTCGTGATCGGCATCTTCCCGGCTTACTAAGTACATCTAAGGTCACCATATATATTGGCCGGTATATGCCTTCCTGGATATGGATCCTTTACTCTAGACTTCGGGATCGAGAACATATTTGGTGGATAGGGTCATAGGCGGTTTCATCGTTTGATACATGCATAGCCTGGTCCAAATACGACCCGAAAGCCGTATAAGCAGAACCTGTGTGCGGCTTATGATTAAACATGGAGTAAATGACGATGCATTTTCGCCTGATCTGGCATAGCTTACGATAGAGTATGACCAACCTAGGTGTAGAACTTTAGATGAGAAAGGTCACGCGGAATCATTTCACGAAAGGTACCGCCTACGTGTCGGGAAATGGCTCAAAGTCGGCAGTCCCTACTAATACTCCCAGTGTGACTTTTAGAAAACATAGGATGTTCTGCTCATACTCCTTTTTCTTGCTGCCGATGCAGGCTTTGAGTAATGGCCTACTAGCCGATAGGGGCGGGAGCCAAGGTAAGCTTCCACTTGCTACGCCAGAGCTACACATGGCCAAATATGAATATAATAAATCCATCGTATAGCCTATGGTAGGAAGTCAACAATTCTGTGCTAGCGTAAGCCGGCTCGAGAATAATAGACGGCTGTAATGGCAAGCAGCCCAACTTCTTGACTTTTCACCAGGTTGGCGCGTATCGTGGCTGAAAATTTCGTCACAAACTGGTCATGGCCCATCACTGTGTAACTACAGCGTCAAACCACAATGGCCGGACAGTATCCTAAGCGATTCTGATTAGGCTAATTCTAACCGCGGTGATTCTCACGAGCGAAGTATCCCGGAACTGGGGAGTCTACCCCAGACTTTCCATTCGGATCGCCACATGAAAACCTGGAAAGGTTGTGGATAGCCTTGGATGCTTGCTAAAACAAGAGTATTTAGGCCCACCAAACTCCAATACAGTAGTAGTTGTTAATAATAACTCTTTAGCGAATTTCCAAAGCGTCTTGGAGGGATAGTGTTGAAAGGTAGTTTCTACAGGGACTACCTCATCCAGGATTAACGGCAGTGGGGGTTACGTTACCTCAAGTATCTCTCGTATTTAATGGCAGCTTTCATATATATGTCGACTGATAAAGGACTTCAACGTTTACTTCTTCCAGTAGTGATAGACAGGAGAAATAAACCAAAAGAACCAAAAAAGCAATGCTCGAGTTGATGAGACCCTCCTACGGTCGAAAAGATCGGTCGAAAAGAGCACCTCGACTTTAAAGCCTTGAAGATCTCTCATGGGATAAAAAGTGTGCCTGGTAGCCTCGCCAATAACAGATCAAGCCACTACTAAGTGGTATGCAGTAAAGCAGAGGACAAGGGGGGGTTAGATGAAGTAAGTAAACAAGTAGAGCGATGTGTCTTTGGAGCGCATTAGTGCCTAATGTTTGACTGGACATTGTTGAGATCTTCAGGAGTGATGAGTGGTAAAAGGACATTTGCTTTTCGTCAACGTTAGATATTTTACACACAGCTCACCAGTTGCAACCCATTACATACACCCCAACGTCACCCCAGCACCACTCTTATCGCTAGCTGAGAACTTGAACGAGTGGTCTGAGGATACACGTATGACCTAGTACACTCAGTACTATGATGATTTGGCTCGTTTACCTTAGAAACGTTCTTGTTATAAGTGGGGTTGAGAGATGTTGCCTTCGAGGCGTGGGGTGAGGAAATGCGATTGTGCCAGGTAGAGCCGTTGAAAGTCGGTCAGAATCAGGTAACAATCGGGCCGCAGACCAAACAAAGGACAGAAGGGAAAGCCCATCTTCATGCAGCCTTTCCCTAGCTTGATCTTGGAAGAAAGCTATATCTTTGCAACAGACAAAACAAAGATACAGGTCTGCTCTCTATAGGAGGATTGCGCATGCAGCGTGAATACGCGTAGCACGCACTAGCTACCACGGGCATGTCCATGTCGGGACGGAACGTGCAACGGTGTTGCTCGGATAGAGATATTTATTTGATTCGATACCGTTATGTATAGCGTATAATGCTCGAACGGGAAGCGGTAGGCGATGCTTAATCGGGCATCGTAACTTGCATACCAAAATACTACTCTGAATTCCGAGATCTCGGTTCATAGCGAGAAACAATTGGGTGCATGTGTCAACTAAGCGAACCAAAGTCTGCACCAGAGAAGTGATTGATCATTACATACCGAGAGGAGGACCAGCGACCATCACGACCAGGCACTGCATAAAGTAAAAAAGGTATGTTGCAACGAGTTCTCGAAGCCAATGCCATATTTCAAAAAGGGTATTATAATACGTGATAAATAACCCCGCGGACTTGACGTGCTTGATCCCTCGGGTATTCCGGTGAAGGTGATGATTGGTTTACCGGTGCTCCCGGCCGATCATCTAACTGCTTACCTAGGTAGGTATGCACAAGTGGCCGTTACTTTGTATGTGACCCTGTTACAGTAGGTACATACATAAGACGGGATATGAGGCTGACGTAGATCTAGGTTGCTCAAGATGGATATGTGATAGGAGAACAACGACTGAGAGTTGTAAGTTGCAAATTACGGAAGAATGCAATCGGTGATCGAGGCTCGGCTAAAGTTCGGCTACATAGAGCTGAGATATTTCAATAAAAGGGACATTACCTCATGAATATTTACCTAAATATGCATATATCCATCAGTCAGCTTTCCCCTGAAATCATTAGGTTAGGTACCTTCCTTAGGTAGGTACCTACCTGTCACTTATCACCTATGCAAAAATTACGAGTTTAAACTCCGATTTATTATCAAAATCTTCTCTCTCTCAAAACCCCCCCATCTTCTTCCCCCACGCGTAGATAGAATATGAGGTCACGATAAGTACCTACCTCTAATAAGACCTAGAAAAATTAATTCATGTTATGTTAATATTATATCATACCCAATTTCTCATACATAATATCAATTTGATTAATACAGACCGCCTTTTGACGGTCATCATGCCTGCATACATGTACTATACCACACCCATTCACCTGCCTCAATACCCAATCTCATCTATCCATCAAGGTCTACCAAGGTACTGTAAGTCACACGACTCATACGGCTCACACGAATCACACAACGAGATTCGTTATGTTACGTACTCAATGTAAACCCCACCGGAAATAAGGTATCAGCGAAGAAGATACCCTTGCCAACCTGTGCCTAGTTGTGACATGCATGCTGCCCTACGAAATAGACCTTCTTTTTTCAAACCTGTAAGCCGCAGTAGCATCCCGTCTCGGAAATTTCTAGCCCTCTAAATAGTAATCGGCCGGAAATCATCATACTCAGCGCATGCCATTGGCTACCGGATATTGATAAGCCATTCTCTTAAAACTATCAGCTCAGTAAAGTCTCTGCTGCTGTGGCTCTGCCAATAACTGATGGCATTATCACAGTCCAACTTTCTTTTTTCTAGACATTCGGTCGTGCAGAGTATGGTTTCCTATAAATTGCATGAAACTGAGATCTATCCCGTGAAAGATGCCACTGTAAAGCGTGTGGACACTCTGATTAGCAGAGTGATTCGATTATTTCTTACTCGTGACGCAAATGTAGGTCACCTTCTTTAAGTGCTACTCTTGCTACCACGCCAGGGCATATCGAAAGCACGACAGAGTAGCCTCTGATACAAAAGATAAACGAGTCAGGGGAAACAGTAAGTAGCTTCTTAATCAAAGGATTAAGGTTGACATGTTGAAAGCTTGAAGCATATACTGCGACATCTGATCGTATATCCAACGGAGGGCAGCCATAATAAAAGACAGGAAAAATTAGGTGACATGATAAAGAATTAAATATTCATGTAACAAGAAAGGATGTTGATGAAATGAGGGTTTTCAAAGAAAATAGTTCAATTTAATGTCCGTGATTAGACGATTATTATCTTACACGATGTTAATATTATAAATATATTACAAAAATATCAAGGATAAAGGCATGTAATGATCAGTTAGAAATTGTTGAACATACCACTGTACCACTAAGAAATAATTTCGTAATATCTTTTATTCTATTGCACTATTTATATCTGACAACATCTTATTCCGTATAATTTACCGATTGCATTTATCTTCTGGCCCTGTGTCAAGATACTAGATGGGATATTTAAAACAAAGGACACTATTAGTACATATAGCCGTAGGCTCCGCAATGAAGTTGCTTTCATGCTTCTTGCTCTACCTCGTGATACCTTTGAGCCTAGAGCTTGGAACTTTATATACCAGTCCAGATATTAGCAGGGCCTAGTACGGGATAACTGGTAATGTTGCTGTAAATATTGAATGAAATGCCCGGGTCGTTCTCCCTGTAAAACTTGGTAGCGGGCACGTCGCCACTGATGGACTTATATCCGGCACCCAAGACGTGTAGGTTGATACACTAGGGGTATGCCTGAGCACCACCGACATTAGAGGCACCATGGAGGGTAATTATTTCATGGCGTAACACATAATGACCTGGCTTTAGAGTTGCCGGAATTTTGACCTACCACTTGAATTGGTCTCTTATCAGATCATCTAAACCCCAATCGTTGCCAGACTTCCAAGAAGCCTGTGCAATCGTAACAAACTTCAGGTTTTTCTTCTTAGCTCCAGTGCAACCGACTATGTCGCAGTCAGCCAGATAGTCGATAATAGGCCCTTTATGGCTGTCTGGCCATGTGAAAAACTGAAGGGTCAATGTGCTACCTGAAGTTACGTTGACATATGTCTGACCCGGCGTAGCAGCTTTATGACAGATGATGTTAGGGTTGGCAAATGAGTCGGGACTGACGAACCCGATATCAGGATTGTTTGCTGTCTAGCCTGGGATGCTTGGCGGTGGATTTTGATAGCGGAAACCCGGGTCCCAGCCGGTGTAATTCTTGCCATCGGCAATGATGGACTGCACAAACCCATGGCAGGCAGCGCATGTAATAAGAGCGCTGACAACTGGCAACTGCTTCGTAAATATAGAAAACAACATATTGGGCCAACTTAGTTGATGAAAGCTCACAAGAGATGAATATTTTGTCTCTGGCTGCTGTTATACCTTCACATTTGGTAATATCAAGGCTTATTCGTCCAACTGGAAGTAGCTGGTCCATTTGCCGAACAAGAGCATGGCTAAGTAGTATTAGATAACTACCGAATGGTATTTGGTTTATTAACAGCTCAATCATTGGACGTTGTAAAGTGCTTCTGTTATGATCTAGTCCGAATATTCCAACTAGGCTAAGTCATATTATAAGAGTGATTCTTATCTAACCAAAAATTTAGGTGGAAGGGTTAACTCCTTGGCTATAATAGTTTAAACATTGTCGAGTCGACGACAAACCAAGACTAGCATAGGCTTGTTCATTCTATAAACATAACTGTTATGCCCAGTCTCGAGGCTTAAAGTAAATTAGTATGGCGAGACATTTAGTGACACCACCTCTCTTTGAAAGCCATGGGCTAGCCTTGAATTTTACTCACATCTCCAAGGTGGCTAGATTCTTATAGTTCCTGCTGAAAAAAAAACGTATCTCATAGCCGATATCAAAGAATTGTTCCGATATTCCAAGAACACTTAACCCATCCCAAGAGTCAATAGTTTATAATTGTCCTAACTACTGTTGTTTAGGAGAGATTGTTTAAATTTTGTACACCGCATTTTTGAAGCACCAATCTTAACCCTTGCCTTATTAGCTAGTTACGGGTCAAGTAAAGAAACAAGTAATCGCCCGCCGAGGACCTAACTATAATTAGTTAATCATGAACGTAGTTATCTAAAGAAGGACTTGGTAGTTTAAACTAAATGGGTGGGACTAGTTGAATGAATAAATGAAATTAAAAACTTCTGCATAATAACAATGCATTTCTAATTTTCAACGCGTACACATTGTCGCATCTCATATATTCCTTAATAATCATACATGTCAAAAATCCATAGCTTTCGTTGATTATTATGTCGGGCAATATTCTACCCTTATCGAGTTGGAAATGGCAAGAGGAGGATCTTGTAGCCCCTGACGAGGATGTGGACTTCAACAACACGCTAGAACTCACTAGTTGGATTGTTGATCAGCTTCGAGCCTGTCCCTACAATGATGTTCGTTCTCTAATAGAGAAGAAAAAGGTATGTTCGTTATTGATCAAACATGTACAGAACAACGCTCACAACAGGTAGAACATCACCCGCCTTGTTCAACTCAAACAACTTCGAGAGAAAGGTACAATTGTCCATCCCAAACTTCATCTTGAGCGACAGCAGAAAATGTCGGCTCTAGCAGCCTTCGTCACGATCGATAAAGTCAACTCGGACCCGTGTAAACAATGTTTACACACAAAATCGCGTGGTCCATGTGCTGAGTGTGTTGCCGGTAACAATAACTTGTTCAATGGAGCTTGTACAAACTGCCAATTTTCTAGCACGGCTTCGGCATGTTCATTCTATGAAGGTAAAGTTTTGGCAAATTCTTTCAAGAGCCCTAGAAGCTAATTGTCACAGGTAAAAATCGGAAAGCTAAGAAGCACGGACGTTCGACCTCCAACGACGACCATTCGAGCGAAAGATTCTACCTGACCCCCGAGGTACTAGAGGAGTTGACAACTCGCGAGCTTGAACGATGGCGGAATATGATTGAAAATGAACTGGATATACGCAATGTGTCTTGTTCCACCAGGAAACGACCACGCTCTTAGCATTCGGGTCTCGCAGCAGAGTGTCTTCATGTAAATTCAAAGACACTTGGCCGCCCGTATTGGTGACCCTGACTACTTTTCTTCGCGTCATATCGAAGTAAAACTAGGGATATATTACTACGTGTAAATCACTAGGGCTTCGGATGAATGAAGAAAGATAATGAAGATGTTGGTTACATTCTTTTATAGGCATTTATGTCTACTTGTATGTCTCTCCATATGTCTCTCAGTCCAACAGTCATACTGTGTAATTCGGACATCTACGGAACTTCGCTTAGGGGCGATATGATCGATAATAAATCATCTAGACTCCCACTAATAAAGATTTCCATATCTAGTAGATTAATTAAGTGGGCTACTCCATCTCAAAGAGATAATATAACACCGCAACCATATAATTGTATAATGCATTTTCAGCTACCCGTGACCCGCTCTACTCCTCAGTAAGCCAGCTCCCTCGATATCCACCGCAGTAGAAGATGTTCGAAGACTCTTCAGCATCTATATGTCTCGTCAGTACTAAACACATATATTCACGCTTGCTTGAATGCCGAGGCTACTTCGGTGTCATAGGTAGCCATGGTAGCCCCCTTTCCAACATCCAGGCATCTAGAATGTTTGGAGATACCATAGAAAGAAAACGTATCCTAGACTATAGCCAATTAGACATCGCATAGAATTAAGGGTAACTGACGTCCACGTGGGCCGGGAAGACCAGAAAACAAATGAGGTTACTGTTGAGCGCGGCCGAATCGGTTAGCTTATATACAACGCGATTCTTAGCTTTGGGTACACTCCCGTAAATGGGCTTGTAGTTGAACCCCTAGATTTAAGCCTATTATTAGTAACATTTTAGAATTGCACTTCTAAAGGTAGTTCTCCGTAAAATTATTTGTTCAATGCTTGGCGCAGCGTAGGCTACACTTCATCATCACCATCGTCTATTCGAACCTGATCACTTCTCACCCGTCCCATCAGGGTTCACAATGGCGTGTCTACCTAATACGTATGAGAAATTCTACGAGAAGATTCTACCAGATTTTTCAAGATGGTATGTTCTTTTTCCAAATCGTTACAATTAGCGCTTATTTATTCTTCGCTCTCTTATACCTTAGAGGTAGGTAGCCAAGGCTTGGCTTGTGAGAAGCTTCGATGATTTATAATTCGAAGTACGACGGAGATGCTATTTGATTTATAATCAGACATGTTATGACTATATATTAGACATCCTTGGAGTCAGGAGTTCATAGTTAAATATCCAGCATAGTCTTTCAATACGATATAATCGGACGAACCAAAAGCTATTCTTACGATTTGGACAACACCTTACACCTCCTATCCGAGATGTCCACTTTCCTAGTCACTCTTGCTACCGGTCAACAGGGCAGAGCAACAATCGCGGCTCTGCTTAAAGGTGGTGCCAAAATACACGCTGTGGTCCGAGACCCAACCAAGCCGGCCGCTCGTGAGCTTGAAAGTCAAGGCGTCGTCCTATTCAAGGGTAGCAACGAGGATATCGATGTCTTCCGCAATGCAGCTAAGGGATGCAAAGGCGTCTATCTCAATCTCGTTTCGTGGCCAGACAATTTGGACCCGGGTCGACAGGCAGCAGATATCCTTAAAGTTTGCAAGGAAGCCGGGATAGAGCACGTTGTAGCCTCTACCTCGGGATGGGTAGGCAGTAGAGAAAAATGGGATAATCCTCTTAACAGGAGCGAGTGGCTGAAGGGGTTTTGCAAGAACGATGCCCTTGTTGAAGATGCGGTTCGTCGCTCAGGAATCAGGTATCTCACGATACTTCGTCCGTTTTGGTTCCATTCGAACTACCTTCCACCCGTCGTCCAAGTGTTTTATCCGGAACTCGTCGAGGGAGGAGAACTGGTCCACTCGTTCAAGCCGGGAGTTGTTTTCCCACATATCAATGTAGATGACATCGGGCGGTTCGCAGCTATGGCACTCTTTGATCCAGCTACATTTGACGGCGAGGAAATTGAATTAGCCAGTCAGAATCTCACAATAGAGGATGTGGCCAATGCGATTGCGAAAGCTACAGGAAAGCATATTGCGGTTCGGGCTCGAACACTCGAAGAAACGGACGACACGAATCCGATTGTAGCATGGCACCTCTGGGCCAATGCGGTTGATCTAACAGTTGATTTGGATACGATTGAACAAAAATACAAATTCCGCTTCACGACACTCCAAGAGTATTTAATCCAAGAGAGAGAACAGCTGAAGATATTAGTATAAGGTATTGTCAGCTAGAGTACCAAAGGCAAATGAAATACAATAATGAATGAATACTGAATAATTTCCAAATCACGTTCCCGGAATCAGCGAGATTTAACAATAATTAATTATACTATGACCTTTTCATATCTTATTAAATACCTCCTACCAAGTTCCCGACACAGGTAAATCTTTTGAACTCCGACCAACCATAAACCGGTATTCACCCTCGACGACCATAGCCCAATTCTGCATCTCAACGTCCCAGTAGCTTAGATCTCGCCTCGTCAGGTTAAATGTGACCGTCCTACTTTCGCCTTGGTCCAGCAGAAACTTATCAAATCCGCGCAGCACCTTCACCGGGAAGTCGACCGGACGATCGCTTTGGGGATAGCCGAGGTATAGCTGCGGCACGACCTGGCCTGCTTTGCCGCCGGTGTTGGTAACCTTGACGGAAACGGTAACATAGGTATCCCAAAGGTCAGGGTTCCCGCCTTCGTCTCCCCCCGCGCCGGAGAGAGGTTGCTTAACGTCGTAGCCGTCGGGATAGGGGTAGGGTTCTGATATTATTTCATCGATATTATGGAGGTAGGGGTAAACGTATTTTTCAAGTTTACGAAAGCCTTTAGGAAAGAGCACTTCTTCTTCGTCGGGAATAGTAGCATCGTATTCTGGAGGAACTGCAAAATCCTTGGGTCGCGGTGCGGGGAGGGCGCTCTTCTCCTTCAGCCCGGTAACGATGCAATCAGAGAACTCGAATGTAGTATAGCTTAAACCGAACCCGAACTCGAACCGCGGCTGTATCCCGTATTTGTCGAAATAGCGGTAGTCGACGTATAAACCCTCTTTGAAGTCCTGCTGCGGCACGACACCGTTTGGTAGGTACATGATTTTAGCACCTTCGCCGTAATCATCCAGGGACTTGCCGATAGTCCAAGGCAGCTTTCCGCTAGGATTGACATCTCCAAATATGACATCGGCTAGGGCGTTACCACTCTCCTGGCCTGGTAAGTTCGCGAGGAGGACCGCTTTGATATTTGGCAGGTCAATCCACTTTTCCATCAGGACAGGGCCAACTGTGTGAATGACGACAAGGACGTCGCCGGTGCCGTCGTGGCATCCGTGGGCAACCCGAGTGATCAGATCATCGCCGCCTTTTTGTAGAAATAGATCGGGTCGGTCGCCTTTAACACCCTCCCACGCCTTAAACCCTTCGCCCGAGTCGGCGTTTGCGAAGACGATACATAACTGAGCGTCTTGCAGAATCTCGGGCTGTTTTTCGAATGGAGGCTTATTGGTTAGATACGTCGAAACCTTCACACCCTCGTCGTCTTTCCAACTCTTAGTCAGTGCCTCGGCGGGTGTGACCAAGTAGGGAAATTCAACAGAACCAGAGCCCCAGCCTGAAGCCAAGGTGCCCTGATTGCAACCTCGATCTGGACAGTGATTAGGACCGTCACCAGGACCGGCGTCCTCGCCAAATATTGCAATCTGAAGCGGACTGTCGCGTCGTATCGTTTTACTCGAGTTAGTGCCAGATTTATGAGGAAGAGGGAGCAGTCCTTCGTTTTTAAGTAACACAGTTCCCTCTGCTGCAATCTGCCGTGCGATGGAGGCGTGATCACCCATGACGTTGACGTACTGATTAACTGGGACTTTCTCTTGCTCGGTAGGGCTTCCGGGTGCGAAGACGCCTTCGGGCTCGTCTGTCCACGACGAGAAGTTGGGCCCCTTACGGTCAAACTTGGTCTTGTCGTCCTGACCTAGTTGATACCATGCCGCGACAATCCTGGTGACCATGTCGTTTAACCTATCGAGAGGAACCGAGCCGTTGAGGATAGATCTCGTAAGCTCGGACCCCCAGAGAGACTTGCCATCCTCCCAGAACAGCCCGTCGCCAGGCATCGTCATGTCAAGACCCGCGAGCGCGCTGCCAACGCCGCTTCTCTGCGCTAACCAATCGCTCATTACGAATCCCTGAAACCCCATCTCGTCTCTCAACAAGCCGTTGAGTAGCTTCGAGTTGCCGCACGCATAGGAATTGTTAATCATGTTGTAGCTGCACATGACGCTTGCAACGCCGGCCTTGACAGCATTTCCAAACGGCCATAGGTAAAGCTCGTGCATTGTCCGATCGTCGATGTTGGTACTAAGAGCGTTTGGGAGACCCCATTCCCACGGCTGGCGGAAGTGCTCCTGTTCATTTGCGACGAAATGTTTAATAGTCGCCATGACGCCCTCATCTTGAATTCCCTTGATCGACTGGGCTGCTGCGATGCCCTGGAGATAGGGATCCGCGCCGAACCCTTCCCAGTTCCGTCCGCCTGCTGGCATGCGGCCTAATGGGCCGATGCAGGGACCCAAAATCACATTGACTCCCTTCTTCCTAGCTTCTATCGCATGGGCGTTTCCCCATTGGTACATCAGCTCTTTATTCCAAGTCGCGCCGACAGTGATGCCGGCAGGAAAGGCTGTGGCATTGTCGGCAAACCGAATACCTAGCGGACCATCCTGAAGCGCCAGAGCAGGGAACCCTACGTGAACCGCCGGGCCCGTGTTTCCTACGGCCGGACCCATCTTCCATCCGGTCCCGGTCGTCACGTTTATTTTCTCCGGCAATGTCATCTTGGCAACCATCTCGCTGGCCTTTTGATAAGCCTGGGCCCAGCTTTTCGCCGTACCGCCCTTTGGAGTCGGATACCATGGTGGCGAGAGGCCATCCGGAGGTGATTGTTTATATTTCTTAAATGCGAAGAAGCCGCCTGCGCTAAGTGCTAACCATACTAGAGCGAAAATAGCTAAACAGCCAATGATACATCTAGTCGAGCGGCCAACGAAGCAGCCGCATGGTTTCCTCAACCAGCGATTGCGAGGTTGGGTAGAGTAGGCCGCGGTGGACGGTTTGGAGGATGTGAGGGGGTCGGATTGGAAGAACTCTGTTGCATCAAGATCAGAGTCGAATGATGAACGAGCATCATAGGAACGGCGGAACTGCTCTTGCTCGTAGTTCGAGGTTGGACTTAATAGTCCTTCCTTACTCGAGCTCATCTCGTCACCTTTGGCTCGGAGCCTGGTCTCGCCCTACGAGAGTGCGGTTCAGCAAGCAAGTCTTTCGATAAGATTGCCACGAGAAAACGTTGGTCCGTCTATTGCTTGCCTAGATTAGGTACCTTTGCCACCTGAGCAAATAGCAACGGTTAAATTAAAAATTCATCATATGTATTACTATCGTGAAAGTCTCCAAGGTAATTACTTGGAATTGAAAGAATGAAAAGACTCGATCAATTCCTCAAGTTACCTAACCTAGGTTAAAGTATTATAAAACAGCATCGATCCCAACGTCGGAGCGCTGGTTTGAAACCTGGAGATCTTCTTGGCGAGAGCTTTTGGGCTCTAAGCATTGGATGGATATTTACATAAAGCCGGTACTGTAACCGTGCGCAACCTATTAATAGAAATTTATTTGCGTTGTTGATTACAGTAAGAACACTGTGTTAGCTAAAGGAATGAGGATGTAAAGCACTTCTAACATGTCTTGGGTGTTAAGTTGTCGAGAGGTTGTTAAGTTGTTAAGCACAGACTAATAAGTATAGTATAAACTACAGGTAAGTTCATCCGATAGTAGAGCTCACATCTTTTCCCTATACGTATACCGAAGCATCACATTCGAATCTACAGAGCTCTCGTCCGCCAGTTTATGTGCGCTCTCGATTCCAGCAACGGGGAGACGATATTCGAAGCTCGTAGCAGATGCCCCTGAATCCGACATAACTGGATATGGGAACGGAAGATACTCCGGGAGCAAGCCTAGCTGTCTGAGAACCGTCGCTTGGTCCCAGCTGATGTGCTCGTGGTAGAGACGATCGCCGCGTATGTTTACCACGCTCGTGAACGGAATACGGATAAACCGCCCGGTTGCTGGGATGCCGGGGATTCTACAAATACGCAAACGTACATGATTAGGCCGCTTCGCACTTTTTACGTTAGGAGAAGCACTACGGTAACACGTACAGCCAGTTTATTACACGGTCATGAGTCGCCTTGAATAGGAACTCGTCGACCACGCGATCTATACCCACGGTCCGACTCACGAGCTCAAGTTGTGTGTCGGGCGGATTGCTGAAGATGAAGTTGTCTCTGTAAAATTCGGTCAGGGCTTGTCGTCCAACGCCGCCTGTGAGCGTTGGCACGTGGTTCACGTATGGTTCTTCAACCATGGTCGCCATCGTCTCCTCGACCGACCGCGCTTGGAATTCCCAGTACGTGTGCTCGTCCCACACTTTCTCGAGGTCGAAATAGGGGGCGCCAACAAGCGGCTTCAGAAAAGAGAGCGACCGCGTGTGGGCCACTGAGGCCGAAGTGGCGTGGTAGTTTTCATGTGCGGGAATCGCAAAGAAAGATTTCGCACTCTCGTAGTGGTACCTCTTCTCGTTACTCCTTTCTTGACTGTCATGCTCTTGGGTTTTCGTCAAGGGTCCAGGTATGTGTGCTAGTAACGGCAACTTGCTAGTAGTAACACCCGTTAGTAGTTCACCGTAACAGACGACGGTACAAATCTCGGGATGGGCCTCGATTGCTTCTAGTACGCCGGATTCCAAGATAGGCAAATATGCTTTTAGTCGTTGTGCAGTCAGCTATATCATTATTCATTTATACATAAAGTAATATATTATGTTTTCTCACTGATGATTCCAATCTTCTCGGTTTGATCGCAAGACGGCAATGTGAGTAACTTGGAGAGCGCCGAGCGTATGCCATCATGTATCAATATTCTATCAGATTTCATAACTCTTAACTGCGCAACGGCAAAGCCTTCTTCGGCCCATTTATGCAAGGGTGGCGGGTCTAAAGTCTTCTCGTGCTTACGAAGATCAAGCTCCGCGTCGATCAGGAGGAGTAACCCTGGGCCGTGGCCTCTTCTTGAAAGAGGACCTTGGATTGTTAACTCTGGATATTTTTCATCCGATGAGGTATTGGGATAACCAATCGCTTTTGCGTCCGACGACATTTTTGACATTGACATGGTCAGATCAGTTCTCGGTATAAGGTCACTACCAACCTATGTAAGGGGTATAAGGGGTATAGGAGAGTAAGACAATACGTTCCTTATTCCATCAAGCGGGGTCTTTATACATCATCTCACATCCAATAACACACTAAACTAGCCAAATAACCCAAGTATTTGGGGATCTCTCTTTCTTTTTAGCCCCCGATGCGACACTTACCTATTGTCTGGACATGATAGGTCAGCTTCTCGAATGATTACTGTATAAGATGATCTTCCATAGTATCCAAGTACCTATGTAATTTAAGAATTGCAATATCCGTCAGCCAAGCCCCGCTCTACTTGGGCAAATCTCACACCTGGGGATATATTTCGTGCTTACAGTTGTGAATCTTTCACTTCCCTTTCAATCATCTCTCACGAAGGGAAACACGCCGGTAAGGTTCACGTTCGAATTTCAAATCAAATATAAGGAATTATAGGAAAGAATCTCAGGAGGTCCTAGCTACCCAGGAAAAAGACCATTAAGCACATCTACACGCCAAACACCTTTCCAAGAAACAATTTAACTTTACTTTGCGGCGTAACGATAGGACTAGAAGACCAGTTATACGGCTATTCTACAGGATATCATACATCCAGTCCAAAACAAAAGCCATATCCTCTACTTCATACCGTCTCTATGTATCGTTTCAGCTCCCAATCCGTTACCGCCTCATCCCAAAGTCGTATCTCGTTTTCCCTGGTACCTCCAAAGTGATCTACGAAGTCGTCACCGAAGACCTCGCGAGCGATGCTATTTTGGCTCATAAATCTATCGGTAGCTTCCCTCAAGTTTCTCGCGAGGCGAGTACCTTGATCGCCCAGGTTCCCCACGTCCTGACCCTTGCCTAGAGGAGGGATCGGGATCTCGAGTTTCTTCTCCACGCCGCGCCAACCGAGAGCTAGGATGGCTGACATGACAAAATAAGGGTTCGCATCAGCACCTGGTACGCGGACCTCGAATCGCGTTGCCCCAGGCTTAGAAGTAGGAGGCGCGATGAGTCTGACAGATGCAGCACGGTGTTCCAGGCCCCACGAGACGGTCACGGGGGCCCAGAAATTCTCAACCAACCGCTTATAGCTGTTTATGGTAGGCGCAAGCATCGGCATTATATCAGGTAAGCCGTCCAGGATACCCGCAAGGAAATGCCTCCCGAGATCGCTGAGATGGGCAATGTCAGGGTACTTTGGATTCTCGTCCTTCTCCTCGCGGGAGAATAGGTTCTTGCCGTCCTTATCCACGACAGACACATGGGTATGCCCGCTGTTCCCTGGCAGACCATGCTGAGGTTTCGCCATGAAACAGGGCGTAATTCCGTATTCGCTCGCAACCGACCTAACGACGTACTTGAAGAGAGATGCCCGATCGGCCATCTCCGAGATTTGTCCAAATTCCAATGCCGCCTCGTAGACTCCAGGTCCGCTCTCGGTATGCCAACCTTCCAGGTTGCACCTGAATTTGAGACACGAATCGTATACCCCGTGATAGTAAGACTTGTTGAGCGTCGGCCGCGTAATGCTATATCCGAACATACCCTCGGTCAGGGGCGGCAGCGCATGCGGCGGGTTGCTGTTAAGATACGAAACGACGGAGGGAGAGGACGAGTCCGTGGTCGAGGAATTCGAAGAAGGTACCTTGAATTGGAAAAACTCGAGTTCGGCTATACAATGGTTGGTATTATAATACTTGGAATTGGTACGGGGATGAAAAATAGAGGGGTGTTTAATGTCGAACGTGAGAACGGGAGAACGGGAGAGTAACAAACCTCCTGCCATGGCATTGTAACCCTTCTTTACCAGCTTTTCTACGGTAGTTTTAAGCAGCCCGCGCGGATCGGCGCATACAGGATTTGCGTCGTCGTCAAAGAAGCTAACTAGGAAGAAAGGAATATCGTCTTCCCAGGGAATGCGCCGGAAGCTGTTCAGATCGGGTACGGCTATCAGGTCGCGATAACCATTTTGCTTGTTGCTGATCTTGAGTTCCTTTCCATAAGTCCTATCGTGCATGTCCCAGCCGAAGATGACACTGCAAAACCCGAAACCTTCTTTGGCTACGGAGAGGAACTTCTTCTTGGACACGATCTTCCCTCGTAACATTCCATCGACGTCCACTCCTGCCAGCTTCACTTTGGTATCATCCTTAAGAAGGTCTGGGAGCGTTTCAACTGTGACGCGGGGTGATTCAGACATGTTGAGGGAGAGTATGGATATGGGAGAGTATGGATATGGGAGAGTATAGGAGTAATAGGGTTACCTAAGTCGTGTCGTAATTAAAGAGGTATAAGAGGAAGTAAGAACTATTCTCGGCATACACGAGGAATTGATGCAGGATTCAAACAAGTCTGCGATAGAACAGATATAAATATAAGTCCCAATAGTAACAACGTAGATAGGTAGGTAGGTATGTATAGATGTACTTAGATATGTATACGAACGGTGAGAGATGCAAGTAACATGAATGGAGTGGAGGGGTAAGATTCAGAACAGAGGTATGTATGTATGTATGGTACCTATTATGTATGGAACCTTAATACATCGTAAGGCTGAAGAATGCGTCAAGTCAAGATCGATCCAGCTTCAACTCGAGGTACATTGCCGATGCCGAAATATATATTGAGTGTTTAATGCGATTGGTAAAAGATAAGCTTCCACGGGGTATTGGTATTACAAGCTTTGAGACTAAAGAAATCGGATAACGAAATCCCTGTCGACGGATCTTTCTATCAGCTACGTAATAAGTATCTTCGTACCTATATCGTAATATCACATATCATATTAGACTATAACTATTTGGCGATTTCTCCCTCGTGGATTACAGCCAACCTGCAGATTCCTCTTACATCGTGATCATATTTCGTGGTAGTACATACACGATGACGATGTTACACCGATTTGACTTATGCGAGGCTCTTATTTCTCATCTCTCATCTTTCATCTCTCATCTCTCATACCTCATACCTCATACCTCATACCTCAGGGCTACTAACCGAGTGAGATACCCGTCTACAACCACCCGCCATTTTTCATCCTACCGTCGTAGATTCATAAGATTCAACCCAATAGAAGTGAGTCCGATGAATCTTCAGTTGCGTGATTTTAATTCTACACTCATTTAGATATGTTCTTGTATATGTATGTCAGCTGACACCGCGTGACACTTGCTATATGCCGGAAACTGTTCAGACTCCCGCCCTTCCTCGAACGATCCTCTTCCAAGACCAATAGTATGTCAACTTATAGTATGTCAACATATACTAGGACTCGACGACCTAACCTATAGTATGCAAGGCAGTAAATTACTACCAACAATCATCTTCAAATGTCCTGAATGTCCTATGATCATCCCTTCGGTATACTTAAAGTATAGTGTATTATCGCCTATGCCATGCCGACTCTCACCACCAATGCTGACTGGCGGCCACGATATCCTTGGCCATAGATTTCATTATGCGTCTCCCGACATCCCTACCCGGCCGCGTGGTTCATTCTACTATGTATTATCGGCATGATGACTCGATATCATCAACCACGAACCCGACCCGATGGAATGGGACAAGTGTTACATAGGTAGTCATCAACTCACCGCTTGAAAGCAACAAGATATACCAATTGCGGAAGCTCCCCACGAATCATGAACCGAGATTTCGCCAACCTCCTTCCAGAAAACATAGACGCATCGGTGTGGAGTACATGCCAAATACGCCTTGCTTAGGATTATATCCTTTGACACCTCTGCGGGATCTGGCGAAAACAGGTGTAATCTTCAATGGCTTCCGCTTTTCTTAGGGTATGATATATGATGAAAGTGACATATCCGTGGCATATCCAAACAGGTTCCGGCGGACTACTACCTAGACTCGGACTTAGTCAAAACGACACGAGGACGCACTGTATCATATCACTAAGCTTCAACTTCCACATGTGTTCTACCAGGAGTAATCCAACCCCCGACTTATTGCTGCATACGCCGGGGGGAGTTTTCTCAACTTAAAAGTAATAGATAGCATTGAGGTGGAACGGTCGGAGCGAGCTGCCTAGGTATGTGAACGTATAAGCTCCATCATATTTCTTTTTATTTATCATACAAAACGCCCTCGTGACTATTATCCAATCAGTCAAATCCACGTCAAACCAAACTAACAGACCCATCTATCCCTCGAGTTCCACATCTAGTGCCAATATAAAACGTAAAAAAGAAAGAAAAAATAAACGAAGTGGACTTAGACTGTGTATTATGAGATTATACTAAAATAGATGCCGATCACAATCATCAAGCTACATAGGTAGGTAGTAAACACCCCTGATATTGTTTGTTTATACATAGCGAGGGGCCCAGCCTGCAAGATATTGCAGCACATGAGGCATGAGGTAAAGTAGGGTACATGTGACTTTGGAGGTGGGAACACGTTAAAACAACATAGGTACCTCCTTTGTGATAGATAACCGGGTAAGTAACTTCCAAGGTTCCAAGGTTTCAAGGTTCCAAGGTTTCAAGGTTCCAAGGTTTCAAGGTTAATGCTGGGCAGTTCGTGATAAGAAATATAGTCTTATCACGAATATGCCGCCGTTGTCGGAAGGGGAGGGGTCATGCCACGGAGCGCCCCTCCAAGCTTAGTCCGAATCGATAGGTACGATAGGTCAATATACAATACATTCATACGAGTAATACGAGTACAGTGGACTATCGGTCTAATAATAACGGACAGTGTCTAATATGGCGTCTTTCGGGATAGCTGATAATAGACTTTCGTCAAATATTCGAACCAGATCGATTCGATTCTGTCCTCGACCTGGAATCATCCTTTCCAGTACCTCATAAACCGTCCAGGCGTTAACTTACATTCCCGTATCGTATCCCTCTCGGCAAACCCTTTCCTCGCTGTTCAAACGAGTCCTCCTATTAAAACTACGATAAGTCGGGTGGTAGTCAAAATGGCATCTGAGAACAAGGGCCGTCTTGCTGGCAAGAATGCTGTAATCACGGGAGGTGCTGGGTATGTAATTCCTATCACGTACGTACAGGCCATAGGCTTTGGACTGACGCAAATCATCTACATAGCGGAATTGGCCTCGAAACATCGATCCTCTTTGCAAAAGAAGGCGCCAATGTTCTAATAGTCGATATCTCTGGCCCGGCATTGGAGAAAGCCAAGGCCAAAGTCTTGCAGCTGGTACCGCAAGCCGGCCGAGTGGAAACAAGAGTATGTCGTCGCTACCATCGTATCCCTCCTTCATTATCACACCACAATACCGTAGACCACGACGTAGCGGTAGTTTCAGCATCGTAGACTAACATAGGTGTCTACCCCCTTCCCAGATCTGCGACGTGTCCAAAGAAGACGATGTAAAGGCAACGATAGAAACCTTGGACTCGTGGGGCGGGCTCGACGTCATCTTCAACAACGCGGGTATCATGCACGCGCGAGACGACGACGCGGTCGGCACGCCCGAGGAGATATGGGACCTTACCATGTCGATTAATGTGAAGGGCGTGTGGTACGGATGCAAGCACACGGTGCTCTCTCTGCGGCGCAACAAGAAGACGAAGGGCAGCATCATAAACACCGCGTCCGTCGTCGCTCTTGTCGGCTCTGCGACCCCGCAGCTGGCGTATACTGCGTCCAAGGGAGCCGTCCTAGCCCTGACGCGCGAGCTATCTATCGTGCACGCTCGTGAAGGTTTCCGCTTCAACAGCTTGTGCCCGGCGCCCTTGAACACGCCGCTGCTACAAGATTGGCTCGGAGACGATGTGCCGAAGCGACTGCGACGAGAGATCCATTTCCCGACTGGAAGGTTTGGCGAGGCCATAGAGCAGGCTCAAGCTGTGCTGTTCTTAGCCTCTGATGAAGCTAGCTTTGTAAATGGCCATGAGATGGTAGTAGACGGCGGCATGAGCAAAGCATATGTCACACCAGAGGGACCACCTCTACCTGCCCCTGCGAACAATGCTTCGAAGACTGAGCTATAATTGGGGGGGGAGTTTCGCAATGCTCATAATAAGGAAGAAAGGGTATATGTTATGCTACCATTGGGGGTGAGCTTCTACCTAGGTAGGTAGTTACCTTAATCGACTATGCTCCTCTGGCTATGTGATTTACGTCTCATACCTAGCCCTGCCTACGAACCTAACCAAAGATATTTTAAAATCCAACGAAACCACCACTCTATGCGTGACTAGGTACCCATACAATCCGCCGTTGAAATAAAGAATAGACAAAAGAGGCTACCTAGACTCCATCGCTACAATGCGAACGATCAACATATAAAATAAGCAAAGATAATTTAAGAGGAGAGCAGTACTCTAGTGGAATTGCCCTTCCGTATTTCCCTCTCCCATGCTCTTGCTCGCACTGCTCCCACTTTGAATGGCGCCTAGAATCCCGTCGATATAACTTGCGCCGCTCCACTTCTGATGCGTCAAAACGTCGCATCCAAGTTCCTTCTCGCGACGTTGCACGAGATTAACATAGGCCAACATGCCATCCTTCTTGTACTCTTTAGCAAGCTCGTTTGTGATGGTAGCAGTACTATGCAGGCCCGCTAACGAGATTAGTTGTAGGACGAACCCTTCCTTGGCGATGTCCCAGATAAAAGATTTGAGCTTGGCGTCGGTGAAACCGTGGGCCATCCAGTTAAACGAGGGTGATAGATTGTAAACTAACCCCTTGCCGGGAAATTCTTGCCTTACCGTGCGGCCGAGCTTGGCTGCCACCTCGACGTTTGGATCGCCGGTTTCGACCCAGAGGAGATCGGCGTAAGGTGCGAAAGCAAGAGCTCGTTTCGTGGCAGCTTTCATGCCCGCGCGATAGTGATAATATCCTTCTCGGGTGCGGGGGATGTCCCAATTAAAGACGATAGGTTCGTTGGCGTACTGGTTCGCAATCTCACGACGTTTCGTTATACCCATATTTGCGTTTGCCTCGACGGCTCTTAGGTATGAGTCTATCTTGTCTTGGGCTACTCCCTGAGATTTCAGCTGCTCGACGGCCGCCCCGTCAAACGTTACTAGCCGGGTTTTCTTTACCCATTCGGCTTCAAACGCGTCTATCTCCGAGCCTGGCGCGCCCGCAGCCTCCATCTCTTGTAGTGTCTCTGCGAGAGGCGCAATACCCTCTTCTGCAACACCGAGAATTAACTCGTGGTCTCTCACGTCGATCGCGCTAGATATAAGCTTCCCGCTTTCCGAATCGGTACGCGCGATGACAAGATTCTCTGACCCCATAACATCCCATTGAAAGCGCGCGGCGTTGAGACGATTGATGTGCTCCCCTATAGGCACTAGGACTTTGCCCGCTAAGTGGCCGCACTTCTTGCCGCCGTGCAGCTGATCCTCGAAGTGAACAGCAGCAGCACCATTTTCGGCAAACAACTTGGCAAGCTTTAGTACTGCGCTTAATCCACCATGTCCGGTATCTCCATCTGCGATGATGGGGCGAAGATAGTCGATATACGGCGTTTCCTTTCGGGCCTCCGGGGTCATCTTCCGCCTCAGATCCCATTGCTTTCGATCATGCATCGACTGCGCCTTCGCGAGACGTTGAACCTGGTTTGGTACCGTGTTATAAGGATAATCACCAAAATCCGGCGACACCTCGTTTGTGCTAGTGAGGACTGAGGAACAAGCCCATCCGGAGATATAGAGTACTTCTTGATGTGGCGCTTGTTGGGTCATCTGTACGGGATCGATCGCTCCCACTATTCACCGAGCCGAGAAGAGTTAATATTTTGTTCGGCACATAGTCATACGAATGGACGAGTAAACATACTTGTATGTATCGGCTCCCCCTTTGCCTCCCTCTCCTTGATCAGATTGAAAAGTTTCCTTGCCATTACGGAGCTAGGATAGCTTTGAAGCTGCGACCCTCGTTTTGACACGACATCGGAGGGGGTATATGGCCTCTTAATACCCTCATATCTAGGTGATGCCCACCATGCCTCGACATCTTTAATCTGCTGCTCGTAGAGAGCGTCTTCTGCTGCGCCAGATTTCTTAGCCTCTGGTAGAAGTTGGAATGAGTCGGACGGGAGTACTGTCGACACGGGAGGGTTGACGGGAGGTAATGACATTCTAGCAACCGTAGAAGAGAAGCACCTTGTTGAAGCAATACGGACCGAATAGTGGGAAGGGAGCGCAGCTCTTCGAGGAGCTCGAATCACCATTCGACGAAGCATCGCGGCGGTTATCTGCTGCAAGTTGGCAATTCGAGTCTAGGGGGTCACTAAGCAACAACATATACAAGGGGTACGACTAAAAGACGGGAAGAGGGGGAAAACCTCATTTCTATATGTATCTATAAAGGTAATGATTAGGTAGGACGTTGAAGCTGTAACCGAAAGATTTTGGAATTGCCTTTAGGATTAACAAATCCTAAGCTTGGCCGACAGCACCCGAACCATCTTTCCCCGCGGTCGAACAAATGCCCGTTAACCCCAACTTACCTAAGAAGGGCTCTCTTACCGGTCTCGGTCTAACAAATATTTAAAGCGGGTACAATACATCCATGGGGTAAGCGGCTAGTTCTACTATGTATTACTGCCCCTGGACGGTAAGCCGCGGCTTCTATGTAATTGTTTGCTTCAGGTGAGGTCATCAATAGGTAATATACCTACCTAAAATGTACTATATCTGCATGTAGGTTAGGTAGTTATGTATGTAAGGATCTAACTTAAAGATGTAAAACCTGTTATTTTATGAGTTCTATTTTATTAGCCAATTGACTTCCTTTAACATCCCTTCTACAAGCAGACTCTAAAGAATATACCCGCAAGACCCCTGAGCCGAGATATCGGTTATCCCAGATTCAAGAGTTAAGGTCAAGAGTTAAGGAACCATCAAGTGGTTGGTCGATCCGAGGGATTTGAGGCCGGTTATCTACATGCGGTTACATGTTGGCTGCTTACATGCTAGGTATATTTGTACATCGTTACCCTACGTGCATCCTAACATTGATCCTAGGTATTCTACTTTGTTTGCCCGCAAATGCAACATCGTCTTGGAGTGGTCAATTGTCAGCAACGGGCAGCGGGCAAATGGGGTCAACGGGCGGGTTTCCTCGGTTATGCGGGGGAGGGGTTGCCTTACTTCAGTCTGGAGAAATGCGAAGTACCTGAATGTGTACCTGAATATGTACCTGAATATGTACCTAATCCACATAGCTACAGCAGATATGATACTTGATAGGCACATGCAGGTTGGAAGCGTTCAATACCTACAAGTAACTTTACCCAGGACTTCCCCCACATCAGACATAGGTACATGTATCATCTTATCTCAACGGTTGGAGTTAAGAGAGAAGGCCCGACGTGCTTTCTTGTCACTTTTCACTTTTCATTCGGTCCTGTTGCTATGTTTTTATATATTCTGTCTTTGCCATTGACAACTTACTTCTTCTAACTTGCGTCGGCGTTTTATAGAATTGGCCTTGAAAGTCCAGCACATTATACTTGAGAACAATTTCCACATTCTTTGATTACATATAACTATATACCTTACATAGGTAGTTATCATTTCTCTGTCTGTCACAACTACCTCTCCCGTCTTGTTCGAATATGGCGATGAATATTAGAACGACGACGAGAGCGCTGGGGGCTTTAAGAGTAAGTACCTAGCTATTCAGGAGCGCGGACACGAATCTCTATAGGTTTAGCTAACTCCTATTGTAAACAGCCGCGTGCTACTCCGGCGATAGTTCTCCCCACGGTTAGGTCGTACTCTTCCTCGTCCGAGCCCGACTTAAAGGAGACTCTAAAAGAAGTCATCCCCGCCAAGCGAGAGCTTCTCAAGAAGGTCAAGGCCCACGGGTCCAAGGTCATCGGTGAGGTCAAGGTTGAGAATACAATTGGTGGCATGAGGTATTGCTGGACCCGGCACTATATGCTAATTGCAAAGGGCTAACTCTGACACAGAGGACTAAAAGCAATGGTCTGGGAAGGCTCTGTACTGGATGCGAACGAGGGGATTCGATTTCATGGTCGAACGATAAAGGATTGCCAAAAGGAGTTGCCCAAAGGCAAAACGGGTACAGAAATGCTCCCCGAAGCCATGTTTTGGCTCCTCTTAACCGGCAAAGTGCCGTCAGTTGGTCAGGTCCGCCAACTGTCGCGTGAACTCGCTGAGCAGGCTCGGCTTCCTGATTTCGTAAACAAGCTGCTTGACAGTTTCCCTCGAGACTTACATCCCATGACTCAGTTCGCTATTGCAGTCAGCGCTCTGAACTATACTTCGAAATTCGCCAAGGCGTATGAGCAGGGCTTGAACAAGGCTGACTACTGGGAACCCACATTTGACGATGTCATTAGTCTGCTCGCTAAGCTACCTACGATCGCGGCCAAGATATATCAGAATTCCTATCGTGACGGTGGTGCATTACCTGGCGATGTTGACCCCGAACAGGACTGGTCCTATAACTTTGCCTCTATGTTAGGCAAGGGTGGAAAAGAGAATGAAGACTTCCAGGACTTACTAAGATTATACCTTGCCCTCCACGGAGATCACGAAGGTGGAAACGTCTCAGCTCACGCTACTCATCTTGTCGGCAGCGCCCTGAGCGATCCGTTCCTGAGTTACAGCGCAGGCCTCCAAGGCTTGGCCGGACCTTTGCACGGGTAAGTCCCCTAACCATTATATAGCCGCTGTGCGAGACCTAACCAACGATATCTCACAGACTCGCCGCGCAGGAGGTTTTACGGTGGATTATTCAGATGAAAGAAATCATCCCAGAGAATTACTCTCAAAAGGATGTTCACGACTACCTGTGGTCAACACTCAACAGCGGTCGAGTCGTTCCAGGTTATGGGCATGCTGTCCTTCGCAAGCCCGACCCCCGCTTCGAAGCTTTGATGGATTACGCTGCCAGTCGCCCTGCAATTGCTCGAGACCCTATATTCAAGCTCGTCAAGGCCAACAGCGAAATCGCTCCTCAAGTTTTAACTAAACACGGAAAGACCAAGAACCCCTACCCCAACGTTGACTCAAGCAGTGGTGTTTTATTCCACCACTACGGCTTCCATGAGACCCTTTATTACACGGCAACATTCGGTGTTAGCAGAGGATTGGGGCCCCTAGCTCAACTCATTTGGGACCGTGCTCTTGGCCTACCCATTGAGCGACCTAAGAGCATAAATCTAGAAGGAATATTAAAACAGGTAGAAGCTTGAACGTGTAAATATGTAAGGTCGCGCTTCTCTGGCGTTGCTCATAAAGCATTTGAAGCATTAGATTTTTTCAACGGCGGTACTATACTCACATTTATTCAACGATAACGATGTTTCTCCTATTCGCCTACTGTAGGTGTGCTACCTATATACCTTAGGTACCTATAGATCCGTAGCGTGAAAGTAAAGTTGCCTTAAGGTTAATGTTATTAAAGATTTATATTTGCTAAGGTAAGAGATTGTCAGCTTCGTAATCGTCAATGACTTTCCTTGCTCGATTAATAGACCATTTGAATTGATGTTGACCTGAGATCCTATGAATCTCGCTGATTTTAGGGCCATTGTTCGTACAATGTGTAAATAGTTCGGATACGGTTGACGGTAGGATCGTGAAAGTCATCGCTGACCGTTCGAGACAAGTTTTCGGCGTTGATAGACACGTTCTGCGCGTGCTCTAAGTTGCTTGAAGAAATGAAGTATACAGTAAAGAGACTTACTCTCGTGTCCTTCTGGTGGCGCGACGTACGCCGTACGCTTTACCTACTTCGCGAAATAGCTTCTAGCCCCTCAGCGGGGTGTAAATGCAACACTGACAGCTCCGACCATCGAAAGGGGCTAAGAAAGGGGCTTACTGGCGTGCCCATGAGGCCACGAGGCCACGAGGGGAATTTATTATATTAACTAACCGCTAATCACATCTCGGTTACTGGATCTTCTAAATTTGGATGCTACTCACGGCGAGTGCTACGAAGCACTACCACACAACATACAACGTTCTTACGTCGTCTTCGGTATGGTTGCACGGATCGCGTCAGGTGGTCGAGACAACTTCAGTTAACAGTCCAGATCATGCAATGAATACGTCTGTCTGTACGACCATGCGAGCCGTGGTCTGGAAGTTTCGGACCCGAGCACGTCGTCGAGAGCCTGCTCATCAAGTAGATGGTCTAGCCCGCGAGACGACCTATTTCTTTCTTTCTTTTTTTTTTTTTTCCTTCCAGTTCAGTCCGTCGTCGGGAGGGGCGAGAAGCCTTTCGGATTCGGAGCTGGCTGGAACTACGACAAGAAAGATACGGACCCTATTTTCATTTCATCTCAATCCATCCTTGGACAACACGTGTAGACGGCATGTGTGTGTCTTGGGCTTAGCGCGCATTTGCGTTTTTTCCTTCCCCCCTGGCGCTCGCCAATGCGGCTAAAGAGGTTAAAGAGGAATAGGGAGATTTTCCCCAATGCTGACGATCGAAGTCCTACGAGACTCGAGCGTTCTAGCCAAAGCTCGCTGACGGGGTCGCCCGGTTCTCGCTGTTGATGTGTTTCTGGATTTGCCAGGCTCGTCACGGTCCCCGTTTTGGATTCCGTTGAACGCTGTTAGTTCCTGTTATATAGGTATATATATATTTCTATTCGGATGGTCCTAAGCAGAGTTAGGCCTGGCGGTTGACGGTCCGATGCCTGGACATAGTACTATAACTGTCTACCTCTAGGCAGATAGGTAGGTAGGTATGTAGCTATTAGCTCTTCCGTCTGGCATAAATGCACTTCGTTATTACACTCGTTTATGATGCATTCAAGCTACAGTTAATGAAGACTAGGCAATATATAAATACCCTGTTCTGACTCAAAATAGTATCAGTAGGCCATGTCTCTGTGCGAACGTACAGTAGTTCCATGAAGACGCCTCGCCCCTTCGTCGGGACCTAGATTTCCATGCGGTCCAGATTGCATATACCCAGCATCTTGTTTCTAGAGCCTCCTTCATTCTTACCCTACCCGCGGGTTCGAATCGGATTCCATATACATAGTTGGATGGTGAGTTGCTTCAGTTCCGCATCATGTGGTTTAGCTTCTAGTGTCAAGTCAGGGGTTTGGATTTGCTGATGCTTCTATAAAAAGAAATCCGTCCCGAATCAGCGGAGTAGTTATAACAGCTAGGCTTCCTGGTATTAATTTGATTTCATCTATTCTTCCATGATCATCAATTCAACCGTAAATTTATAGATGAGGCTGGAAGGTCCATGGCTAGGGTCAAGATCCTAGATCGCGAGGTCTAGGTTCGCATTCTATTCCCGAAATTAATCAGCTCGTCTTCTTACGATTTCTCACGACTTCCCACCAGGTTGTCTAGAGCGCCTTGGGCTGCTGGAGCCTGTCTCCGTGCTACTCGGAAGGCGAGGTCTAACTTCCAACCATCAGCCTAGGCTCTAGGGTTAAGTTAGATAGCGCGCTGGGGATGACGATGGAAAAGTTATAAATATACAGCCTTATCCCACGACGAAGTAGATCTTTTCCGTATCAGCATATCCAGCAGATTCCCCCTACCCAGTTTCAATCTACTCGTTTATCGAAACTCCAATACAAGTCCCCCTTACCTAGGTATATAGCAATCATCATGCGATCATTTATTGCTCTACTTGCTCCGGTCCTCGCCGTGGCCACCCCCATCGGTATCATCGGTGGAAGTGATACTCCTCAGCCAGATGAGATTAGCATCATCAGCGCTTCCGCCAGTGGAAATGGGTGTCCCCAGGGAACCGTGACTTCCGACCTCTCGACCGACCGAAAGGTGAGAATTTCAGCTCCCTTGATAAAGCCGATTCTATGACTAACCGATCATCTAGGTCATCACCTTCGGCTTTGACGCTTTCCAGGTCTACACCGGACCTGGCACCAAGCCAGCGGACAAGACCAAGAACTGCCAGCTCCACTTGAACCTCAAGTACCCAGGAGGATTCCAGTTCGCTATCGTCGAGTCTACTTACCACGGATACGCTCAGCTTGAGACCGGTGTCACCGGTACCTTTTACTCGACCTACTACTTCTCTCAGGATGCCGCCGCTACCGTAAGTATTCCACCCCTGCCTCCGCTACTATATCCTGGGTTTTAGGATCTCGCTCACACATATCAGACCACCACGAGGACCTCGATCGACGGAGGTGGGATCTGGGCTGATGGCCAGGTATACACTAAGCAGGACCAAGTCCCGACGGCTTCCATCATCTGGTCTCCTTGCGGCGCCACCGGAATTCTCAACGTCAACAACCGCATCGCGCTAACGTCGAGCAACGCGAGCGCCTCGGGCCAAATCTCCGACGACGACGCCACAGTTGCCTTTACCCAGCAGGTGCACGTCAGCTGGCAAGCTTGCAAATAGATGGGACGAGCAAAATCGAATAGGTCGTAGAAAAGACTGGGTTGGGTGGACATGTAAGGGGGATAGTAAGAACGCGGAATAAAAGGGGACGGAGCTTGGTTACCTGCCGAGTAAATCACTTGTACATACCTCTAGGTTATAGGATAATCCAATTACCCCTTTCAAACTGGAACCATTGGTGAGATATATTCATACTTGCTTCTCGTGCTATCTTTGAGTCTACCACGGACTTATATGTAAACCCGAAATACTTATATATTCATCTTTCATCCAGTACCTAAGGAGTCTAACGTCATACGTAGAACTAGATAGGGGGTTGATAGTGGATCATCCAGATTATAATTGAGGCGATCGCGTTTTGACATCGACTAGAATTACAGAAATGCGGCGCTTTATGTCATGTAAATTTGTAGAGAAATGTCAAGATATCCAACTATCGGGGTATTGAAAGATTAAACAACACTCATGATCCTATCGTAGCCAGCCGAAAACGGAACACTTCTTCTAATACAGCAGCATATTTCTAACTCTTTTGTCCGAGTTCTCGACGCAAAGGCCTCCCAATTATCCCGACTAGATTTATCTATCTACCTGTCAGCTTCCCACCCTTGTGAACCTAGCGATAGCAAATATCAAAGTCCACCTTGTCCAGCCATTATAATCCAACCCTATCATCGGGCACCTCCGTAAGCCCCGTATGCGTTGGCTTGGGGTCCCGGAGATCCCATTCGCCCAGGTGCGTTGGAGGAGGAGGAGAAACTACGGTTGATCGGAGGTGTAGAAGTTGGGGCCGGAATTTGAGGTGTTGGGCCGGAACCTGGACTATCTCTGTAAGTGCTCATCGTATCGTCACGAAGCAGCGGCATGGCAGCAGCGCCACTTGAGCCTGTCGGATCCCAGGTTTTCTGCGGTGGACCGGCAGAGCTTCCTGGAGGCGAATCCGACAAGCCGTAGGTCGTAGAAGCCATCCCGCTCTTAGAATTGTACTCAGTCCCATCGAATGCGAGCGCGTCAGGATCCCTCCCTTCCTTCTTGTACATCTCTAGCTCTACACGATCTTGTTCGAGTCGCTGAGCCGCAAGAGCAGCCTCTTGCTGACCACGACGTCTCTGCTTGAAATAATAGAATATCAAAGCAACCAAGAGAATAGCGCCAACTCCGCCTGAAGCGGCATAAACACCAGATTTGGTGCCAGAAGGAAGATCATTCCATTTCTCAGAAAGTGACTTCTCTGGTTCTTTGTTGATATTCTCGAACGCCGTAGAGTTGCCGCTAAATTGTGTAAAGTTAGCCTAAATCAGTCGTGACACACAAGGATATATATTTCCGCCTGAAGAGCAGACTTACCTCGCAATCTTAATACTCTGCCAAGACCCACTCTGGTCGCTGTAGGAATACTCCTTGCCGGAGGAGTAGTCTTCGACAAGAGCACTCTTCACATACATCGTATGCGGTTGAGAGTAATCCGTAACTCCACCGGCCCAGTCAATAGTTCCCTGCGGCCCGTCCGGATCGCCACCGGCCCAGATACCGAGACTAAGCTTCATCGGCGTTTGGGGGTAGTTTAATGTGTTGTTGGCATCCTTGGGCAGCAGCGTACGGAGGAGCCCGCCGTCTAGCCACCACTCTAGTTTATCCTTCGTCCACACGCAAGTGTAGTTGTGATAATCGTCCAGCACCCCGCCTTCGACAAGATGATCTCCTCCGTTTTTCCAGTCTGGCATTCCCTTTCCAAAGTAGTTGGAAAACGCATGGGTTGCATTTCCTCCTTTGAATTCCCAATCGACCTCATCGAGAACATCGGAAGACCAGACAATGGAGCTGATCACACCGGTACCGGATGCTGCTTTTAAGAACACTTCCGTTTTCCCAAAGAAAAAATAGAAATTCGAGATCAGGGTTACTGATTCGCCTTTCTTGCGCATTGTGAAGGCAGCCCCTGTATCAACGTTGTAGTCGACGGTTCCAGCAGTCAAATTGAACGTATGTTCCGGTGGTGTAGCGTTGAAGTTGAACAAATGCATTGTCCCCAGAGCCGGGTCTGGTGGGCAGGTCTTCTTCAAGGGATCGCAATCGGTCTGTAGCTGAGCGGCGACAGGAGATACGAACACGGAAGAGAACAGCGCGGCGGCTAGCATCAAATGCGATTTAGCAGGCATCGTGATAGATAATCGAGGACTCGTCCTCGGGCCGTGATAATTAAGCAGTGAAGCAATATAGTCGAATAAACCAGCTACCTCGTAGAAGGTAGTATGGGTTGCAAAGCGAGTGTGGTAACCCCGTTATACCAGCCAAGGGGTCGTGAGTTAGGTAGATAACTATATAAACTGCTGTAAACTGCTGCAACCTGCTACGAGACTATCTCGTCGACCGCATAATCTCTAGCGGTAAGTAGACCGGTTTCTAGAGTCGGAGCGGCGATGATAGCTCGTAAGCAGGCACTTATACGTAGGAAACAACGTCGCCAAAGTGTTGAGTTGCTCAAGTTGGAGATTGCCTAGATGATAAAGATGATAGATGTTATATAGGTTATATAGGATATATACGGATTAGGTAGGTAAGAAGTAAGGATCGTAGGTGTTGTGTTTCAAGTGGTTGACCACGGAGTGACGAAGGAGTGTTGGATGCGTAATTTCAGACTGTTGGTATTAACAAGACTTTTAGCGAGCATCGATAAGCATTGAATGAGCGGCAGAGATAAGTGAATGAACGGATGAACGACTCAAAAAAGCATAGAAAGCCCCTTATTCATCCTGTCCTCCTTTGTTTCCATGAGGACGCGGGACGCGGGATGCTGTGAAAGGTCGAAAGGGAATATATGTATGTAATTAGGTACCTAGGTACCTACGTAATTTGAAGGTTAGGGGAAAGGGGGCTTCGCTAACCAGTCAAGATCAATTAAAGCCATCAATTGAAGCCAAGGCAGCTAGCCAAACAACCCGGATCCATGTGTAAGATATTAGATAAGGTACCCAGCGAGGGGCCAGGGGTCTTTGCCGATCTGCAACGGACTCCGTTCGATTCTATACCTAATAAGGATTAGTTGATCGTCATCGATCAAGCTAATCGAGGCGGTCGGCCTGTAGCGCCGAGTGATAAAATGCCTAATATAGTAGTACAGTACAGCTCATGCTAATTCTACCTCCTTTTCCTTTGTTATATTTGTCCAGAGGGACTTGATACTGTAGGTTTAAAAACAGTAAATAGCAACTAGAGACTACCTAGTGACTATTGTCTATTAAACAATGTATATCTATAGGTACAGACTATAGGTTATAAATTTCATGGGTTATGTTGTCTTAAGCACTTTTAAAGCGCCTAAATAGGCAGATTTTCCGGTAATTTCATTTAACCTCTAACACATGACGTAAGTACATGTATGTATCTACCTCATATGCAAGTACAATTATATACCGGATAATAAGTAATGCTACTTACCTGATGCACGTCTTATAATTACTTAAATACTTGAATATATGAATGTACATATCTCTTCGGCTACCTTAGGTAGTTACGCACAGTTACATTTAGTGGTATTGGATCTACACCAATAGCTCTAGGTACATGTAGCTAATTGTTTATGCGTACCCAAGTACCTCATGTACATACATACATACCTATGTACATTATAGATATGTCCGGTCTACCGGTATTTTAATGAAACAACCAAGCGTATGCAAAACTACAACACGGGCTTGAGTTGAATGAGAAATGCTGTGTCGTTCTCGCAACTATCTATGTCTATTACACTATGATCCTTCAGAAACTCTTATTGCTCACGTCTAACCGTAATTCGAGAATCGGTATTCGAGAATCGGTATTCGAAATCATCCACACACCAAGGCCCTTTGACAGCTTCAGAATACAACTCCGAGCTTGTTGTTTATCAATTTTAGTTCTTATTTTTTAAAAGAAGAAAATTAAGATTCGTTGTCGATAATAACAACAATTAAATATATATATACTTAATACCCAGTTACCACGAAAAAGTCATAAGCGCAGGGTTGAGCGCAAGAGGTAAAAGGAAGTGACTGCTCACCACTGTCGCCATGGGCAAGATAGCGACAAAGTCTGTAATACGCCAGTCGCTCGGGATAAAGGGCGCGACGGCTATGATGACCATTCCCACGAGGAAAAGTAGCGAGAAAATCATAGAGAATTTAAATTTCTTTATAACCCTCGGAACCTCAATGAAGAAGTTCGAAAATTCGGCCTCTTTCGACGTCGCGCCCCAGCTCATGTCGATTTCGAACATGTGACACAACAAGGCCTGGCTTATATGGAGAGATAACCCTCCTAAGAAGATGGCTAGAAGAGATGTCCACTTGAAGTTTTCATACAGGGCATACGCGAGTGACCTTTCTCCCACACGATATCGCATCATGGCTAGACCTATATTGCCGAGGCCGTTGAAGACGATAATAATAGAGAACCAGACTTTCCAAGAGTCGATATAATACTTGTCCAGGTACCCGTTAAACCAACCCACGATGAAATAGTTGACCGAAGTCATGATCCATGCTGCGCCGATAGCATAATACGTACCGATGTATGAGAGGATCGTGACCTTTGATGTCAAGCGGACGTTGGAGAAGAGGAATTGGCGAAAAAGAGGCGTAAAGGGACCCTTCCAAATCCACTGCCGAATAGGATGGAAGAGCAGTTCGTTGCAGCCGTACGCATACTTCTCCCATCGGGCTAACTCGTCATAAACGGTTAGAGAAACGCCTTCTTTGAAGCCCTCTCCTGCCCATGCAGCAAGGCGAATAATATACCCGCGACACTGTAGGCGAAGGGACATGTCAAAGTCTTCAGAGACGTGCGATTCGGACCAGAACTTTTCGTACCCATCTTCGTCTTCGTACGAAACCTGCTGAATTGCACTCCACCGTAGCACAGCGTTATGACCGACGAAGGGAGCAACATCGCCGTTGGAGACGGTATACCTAATGGCGCTGTATATGAGATTCGTAAAGAACGTAATGCCGTTCTCAAAGTATGTGTGCACGACTTGCATAACACCAGAAGAGAACTGCATGATGCCGATGTCGAGAGACTGCTCCATCTCTGAAACTGCATCTAGAAGACAATCGGATGGAACACGCGTATCGGAGTCGACTAGCGTTATAGTTAGTCTTGTTATGTCGAAGCCAGGATTGTGCCAGTATTCTAAAACGGTCAGGATAGGGGGAACATACTAAGGAGAATATAGTCGCCGACACGAATGTTACCATCAGCCCAAGCCCTGCCGTCCTCTTCGAGAACCTCTTTCAACGCTTGCTCGTAGGCGAAAGCCTCGTCTATCTGTGACCATTCGGGGCCGCGGTTGTACAGTGCTAACTTGTCCTCCACCTTGCAAGTGATCATAAGTCCGAAGTTCATATTAGAAGCTTTTTTGAACTTGCCGCGGCGCAGGAAGCCGTTTTCGCCGTGTTTGGGACGAGCAACCCAGCCTATGCTATGGCTGGCGTAGAAGTCAATACGAGCCATTCGCTCCTCCTCGGGGATAAGCTGTAAACCGTCATCGTTGATAAAGAGGTTTGCAGAGCCACCTTGCAGCTCGTATGTGCTGATGGCACGCTGCACGGATCTAACTGTGGGTTGAATGACAGCTGTGAGGCCTTCTTTATAGACTGGACATTGTACGGTCTATCGTGGATATATCAAATTAAGACATTAGCATCGATACATCTAGGAGGGTACCACAACCTCATGCCGGGCTAAAACAGCACTCAGCAGGCGTAATCATATCGTGTTGTTACCTAGAAAGAGCAACACTTCAATAAAAATATCCACTTACAACATGTGGTAATGTTACAGTTGCCAGCCGAGGAGGTGGCCGGGCGGAATAGTATTTGGAGTTGATTGTAAGCTGGCGGATAGGCCCGAACATCTGGGCCATGCATCCGACGAGGACCTGGGCGAAGAATAGGGAGAAGAAAACCTGAATTGGGAATAGAACAACTAGACCTAACCGTGCGAAGTTGTCGTCGACCGAAACTTCAATAGCAAGTTGTCTCCAAGCCGCGCCCAGGGAAATTGTAATGAGTGTTATGACGATAGAAACGAGGTACGTGTTCAATAGATGTACCGGTCTCTTTTCGGGATCGGTATGGCCGCTCTCCTCGTCTAGTTCTACTTCTCCGGAAAAATACTCTGGGTTTTTCTCTCCGTCATCGTCGCTCATCTCGCTACGTTGCCAGACTAACTCCATCAACTCCGACTCGATGGCTTGAGCTCGTTGAACGAGATGTAACGCATCATCGTCCCAAACGATCAGCAACGATTCTGCTGCTAAGAAAGCTGCAAACTGGTGCTTTCTTGCTCTTGATAGTTCGTCAACTGATGGCATGATTTGAATTCGAAGACCGTTCATCAACGGCACATCCGTAGCACCGGGAGACCACGAGAGGAATGTCTTGATAACCCTAGAGTTGACAGTCATGGCGCACTATATATTACTTAGCAAGAATAGCCTTGAATCGGACGTCGGAAATAAGACGTTACCTCAACGTTGAGAGCGGCGCAAGCCATCGCGATAGTCGAATTCGTTAATGAAGATGGACACGTCAAGTAAAAACCCCTGGACTTACGGAGGAGAACTCCCTCCAAATCTCCACTCCCATCTCCAACCCATAGATGCGAACACTGTTGTTGATATATAAAATTTACCATCACCTCGTGTTTTATATCGTCGATAAAAACCGGGCCGGTCATAGATCGTGTGGACCGCCCGGAAATCGAATTTCGTGACGAGCCAAAACCCAACGGCGCAATAGGAACGGTAAAATCATTCAGATTTATCAGCCCCGTGAGGACCCTCTCTGCTAAGAACCCCCTACTCTGCAACTGAGATGACCTTCCATTTCTTCCGTCTGTCGGCCGTTTGGCCTTAAAATAGTTGGCCAGGCCCATTCTGCGAATTATTTTATCGACACAGGACCTAATTATTGAACCAAACGAACGAAAAGAGGACCGATTACGCGGGTCACCTTCACAGGATCAAGCTGATTCCCACAGACTTGATAAGAAAAAAAGAGCGTCTGTGGGCTGAGGGGCGAACAAGGTTAGCATCTCGGTAGTCAGTAAGAGAAATAGAAGCGATGGTACTTAATAGCAACCGTGGCATAGTTACGCTGGGAAGCCATTCAGGTTACAACCCCAGCGTGGAAAGATATTTGACTGCAACAGCGACGAGGCATGAGGAACTTACAATAGTAAATAAAGCAGCTATGCTCATAAAGCTGCCAAGTTGAGATTCAACTGCCACGCGTATAATCTGCGCTATCCGGATATTGGGGCAGCATCCCACTACAGTTGGCCCCTATTTGGAGTCTGAGTGGCAGGCTTCCGAGAGATAAAAAAAAAATGTCAGAGCGTAGAATAGGAAACAAGAAAAACACGTAAAGGCGAGAAGGAAAAATGAAGATATTTGAGTCGGCGTAAACCTTCACTCGGAACTTCTAAGAGACAAGACAAGACAAGACACTAGCTAGAACTCTACTTGTTAGTGCGACTTAAATAGTATGAAATGGCTTGCGGTCCGAGCAATATAGTTTAGGGTATCAGGTTGCTTCCAACCTGGTATATAGGTAGTCACAAGCCACTCGGGTATGATTTAAAGATAGATTCGAATAAATACTTGCTTACATATAATCAATAGCTGCTAGATTAACAACGGTTTCGGGCTAACTTCAGCCGCAAATAACGGCAAACGACAGAAATAGAGGCCCAATGGTTCTAGAAGCCAAGGGGATGGATGTGTGAATCGCTTTTCAGTGCCACTCAGTTCTACTCGATCAAGGCGATGGACAGGCGAAGGGGCAACTGGATTTTCCAATTATTATACTAATAACCCCTATCAAAGTCCATTGCAGCCGAGCTTCGTATGAAGAGTTACATAAGACCGTAGCTGACTGCAGTTTCTGATGCTACATCCTGATAGCCATGGATTCTTTCTAATACTACATACATAGTACCTAGGAATCGGCGGATGTACAGTATCTTCTCGGCTCGTTTTTCCACGATATTAGGTAGGTATCTACCCGCCTAAGTGGTTGGATATAATATAGATAGCAACAACAACTATTGAATTAATTATCAACTGACTACGCCTATAGCGAATACAGATACCTTCGGGCCTCGGCCCCGGCCCCGGCAACTACAATACACGCACCACGTGAAGCTCGAAGGCACCGATGCCTTGAGAGGAACTCCATCGGATATCGTTGGAGAGATAACGAGGGGTGGCGAATGTCGCTTAGCAAGAACAGAGGGGATCTAGGCAAGCCAAAGCCAATGTGCAAGGCAATATATTGATGCTGAGCTGGGTCGGGAGTCTGGGCCCTCGTGACTGGCATATGCAGTTCTGGCAGATATAACTGCACCGACCCTACGGGCATAGAGGCGCATTTTCCAATAGCAACGCGAACCCAAGGCCTAGTTTCTTCCAAATCGAGCCGGATGGCCGATGTATATGACTGCTGTGTGATGAGGCACGTTGTCACGATGGTTACGATACGGTTGAAAGTGAAAAGGCGTGAGATATGATTGGTGCACAGCCGAGACTCATGCATACTGCAAGCGCTGTCATCTTTCTCGTATTCTCGGCGCAAACTGCATGCGGACTTCTCAACAACAGTTCTTCTAATAGGCGAGCGCGTCAAGTATCTTACCTATCTACGACCTGGATGCGTAACAAAGCTGTAAGCTACGGCCCGATTCATGTCGCATGGGTTGCATCAAGATGGTTGGTAGAGAGCCATGGCGTTTTGAACTATTAGTCTGTGCTATGAAGCATAGCGCCCAGCAGTAAGCGAGAACTTCTAGAAACAGAGATAGGCCGGATCATGATAGCTGCTTTGGGATAGGAAATGAATAATCATTTCTGATAGATCATATTATCCACAGTTACACTTCAAATGATATTGCTTACCTATGTTCTCTATTGCGCACTTCGAAGTGTATAGATCACTATATCTAACATGGCTTCATAATTCTCAGTAAGTGTCGTCTTTTATCTCGGCAATTCGGGTATTCACTATTCAGCTATTGATTACCCCTGAGGTTATGGAGCGTTACACCGCAGCAAGCCTCGTCGTCTTCTGCTGGCTACTCACCTGTCTACATGTTCCCCAAAGCTTCACTACCTAGCCTGTGTAAACGTAGGTATCAAATACCTACCTACCTTATTATTTACCCAGTTAAGCCAAGTAGGCAAATAAATATTTTTTGGAATCGAGATGAAGTTTTATCAAACGCTAGTCAGATACGCTTCCGGATCTATCGTATTCAGCTATATAGGGGAACACCACTCTGATAACATTGTCTATATCAAAATGCAGTAGATGTTCTAGACGCACGTTAGAACATTGCGGCTGAGTCTGCCTCGACCAGTCGAGACTTGAGAACCTAAGACAGCAGCTTAGCGATGTGGTAGTTCAGGGGTTAGTGTCGATCACCTGAGCATCCACAAAGTTACCTTGTCGTCGTAGATTTCAATATGTACTGTAAACTACCTAACCAGGCGTAGCTTGACACGACCACGAATAAATTATTGAGTACCTAGACAAAGAATCTGGAATCGCCAAGTCGCCATTAACGCCCTTAGTAGACTAGCCTAATGCTTTGTAACATCTAGGTCCTCGCTATATGAATATTATAAATATTATAATCTATCTGTAAAACCAAGAAACGTCGGGTGCGCTTATCTTTCCAAGCCCTCTCATACCTAGAAACCTGAACAACTACTGACATGTACCCAATTACAACTCCTCATTCCCGTCGCACTGTTGCCACATGATAACCTTGCTTACTTCCATTGACGGACTGGTCCAAGTTGGCAGCCACGAACTCTGTGCGTTCCAAAAGTCCTTCTTGGTGTTAGGATTATTGTCAATCCACGGCTTGCCGCTCTGTGAATCCTCAAACCAACCGTTAGTGCCCCCAACAGCAACGTTCAATATCAGGTAGAATTTCTGGTCAAAGGGGGTGCTGAAACGTCCGGTGCGCGACCAGGAATCCACTAGACGTGAACCGTTACTGGTGGCCTCAGGGAAACCACCACGACTCCAGAGCGGTTCATCAAAATTAGTGTAGAGGACCTGCAGGAGCCGGGAGTTGACATAGGTGAATAGATATTTCTGGGACCACTCGACGCCGAAAGTATTAAAACCAGAAGAGTATGTTGTATGCAAAGCCTTACGCTTTACGTTGGTTTTCCACCACGCGTCATTGTTAGGATCTGGTCCCCAGTGTAGAGCCGACGACACGATATCATTGCCGCCTTGAGCGTATGTCCAGTTGTTCCCTCGGCTCTCCATAATATCGATCTCACCGCTAGCTGGCCAAGGCCCGTATGTATCATTAACGGGCATCATCCAGATGGCCGGCCAGAGCCAATCTCCCTCGGGAAGTTTAGCGGTAACTTCGACGCGGCCGTATTTGATAGTTGCGCCTTTCTTGGTGTGAATACGGCCAGATTTAACAGGAGGGACGATGGTTGCATTCCCGACGGTAGTATTAGTCGCAGCTATACAATCAGATGGCTGCTTGGAAGTACAGGTTCCATCTTCCAAGAGGTTGATTAGAGAATCTTTGTTGATTAGGTTTGCGTCTTGAAGGGTCGGCTTGATGAAAAGATGACCATCGTGTACATAGACATTCTCATCACCTCCGGTAGTTTGTTCAAATTCGCCATTGCTACGTATAGGCTGTCAGTTTCAACAAAAATATCATAATAAGGTAAGTTTAGCCTTACCCAAAGCCACCGACCTGGACCTCTTTTGTCCATACGTTATCGTTGAAAGTCGCGAAATTATCTTCAAGCACCAAGCAGTAATCATGCTTGGCGACGGATCGTAGCCCGTCCCATACCAGAAAAGCAGATATACCCAAACCCACTAAGAATCCCGTGATAGGAAGAATAGTGACCCATTTCTCCCTATGGTCCTTCTTTTTGAGCCAGGGCTTCTCTACTTCTTCTCCTTTCTTAATCCTTCGCGAGTGAAAATACCGTGGCGCAGCTGGTCGCCTATTAACACCAGAGCTCTCACTAGATGCTGGACGTGAGACTGACGGTGATGCGAGAGGGTTTGCAGGTTCTACCCGACGTGAATGTTGGGAGCCTCCTATATCATCTATCGAGGGACTCCTATCAGTACTAGGTGTAGGTAATGTTGTTGGGTTAGAAGAACTACCCGCTTGCTGATGTTCCATTTTATTCGCTGTTTTGAACTGGCAAGCGATATCGAATATAGACTTAAGAACAAGAAAAACTTGAGCTCAAAATGAGTGGATGGTATAATAGAGAGAGGAGGTAGACTGCGGTTAGGGCCAAATATATTCTTGAATGCTGATAGAAAAGTATTTATGAGAGAACAGAATACAAAGTATAGTTACATGACACAACACATATTAAGTTAAGTACCTAGGTAACATATCACTATACGTTCGCGCTGTACCTTATCTCAGGCGGTCATTGTGTTCCTACATGTAAGCAATGGGTAGGTGCTACTACGTTGGGTTGTTCGTATATGTAATAGATACTTCATACTCCGTATGGGCACGTCTAGAAATGCAGGTGTACATGTATCTATCCCTTTGACCAGGTACAACCAATAAAGTGCACTTTCCCCCTTGAAGCTCTACACAGTACCCAAGGCCCAAACTTAGGTAGTAGCGAGGGGTCTTACCTACCTACGTAACTGTATAGCATTGCTAAGGGAGGGTGTAGTTGACAAAAGTGAAAAGTGGGGGAGGGGCGTCAAGCGTAAGACGCGGACGCTAGCTCCAAAAAGTTATCTGCTAAACTTTATCATCATGGAAAGGAGAGCTAATAAATCCCCAATATTGAAAGTGGCGTTTTACGAGAACTCGAGACGGTGTTCATCGCGTCGACCTTTACCATTGTGCTG